CAGAGGACTTGTGACTATTGAGAAGATCAGCTGAAAGTATATAGCCAGTTTTATCAATTAAGATGATTAATTGTTTCTAAATGATGGTATGTCACATTGATTAATGCTGCCACGTGTTGACAATCGTTCCCGGTGGACAGATCTCATTACATTTTAGGAGAGGTTTTCACCAAGGGTATTCAGAACTTTGTAACTCTTAGTCTGGCATTGCCAATCCCCATTAAAGGTATTAACTTCCTGCTGCATCGGCGTCACTGTTCTGGCAAACCTGGCCAGATACATAGGCAATGACATTGACTTATTGGTGTGATGACACACACGGACGAGGGAATAACCAGTGAAGGTTATACATGCCATGATATAAATAAAAGTAATAACAGGGAGAAAAGTGGCGCGGGTTGGCTGACAGTCAATATACAATGTAATGGTGGTGAGGAAAATGGAGATCAGTATCAAATATATAATTACAATGACGTTATACGTGTCCTGGCTACATGGCAACATAGTAGTTGGCCTTTGGAACTAACTTTGTATCCGCATTTGGCTGTCCTGAATAGGTCGCTGTGATTCTGATTCAGACCGGGAGACCCGGAAGCAGCTTCTAAACGTGACAGGATGCTCTGGGGGTACGTTGAAATGACGTGCCGCTATACCCCGAGATTCTCAAGCTTCACGATGTCCCATGGCGATGTTGCGAATGGCAGCATTCAATCTTGGCTTTTTCCTGCTTCTAATAAGTCGGCAAACGTGCTTATTCCTTTCCCATGACAGTATCGTGCAGTCTGAAACACTGCTGTATATAATATAACACGGTACGTTTATGCACTACGGCAGCTGGAAACGTGGTTCAATATCACTGAGTAAAACATACTGTATTATGGCCTATACCTTTGTTTATTTGATCAGTGTATCACTATACACGATTTAGTCATTCCTGTCAGCATCGCCATTTTGTCAACTGTTTCCACAAAACTTCCTCAACAAACACCGTTTTTTCCATACCTAAAGCCCTTTTTACATGCACGCATATACTTACGTAAGTATATTTGCTTACATAAGTAAATATACTTAGGGTAATTAAATATGTCATGTAAATGATTTTGCTCCCATGAGCATTTTTACTCCTGTAAGTAATTTACTTCTCCCCAAGAGGTGTGGTAAAAGTATATTACTCCTGGAGTATTTTACTCCACAAGTATATATTGTCATGTAAACGATCTCAAGGTTTACTCTCATAAGCAAACCTATTGCATCATGTCTACAAAAATCTTAGTACATCACCTAAAATGGCTAGACACTGGCAGACAGTCACATGACCTTTCTGGATTCAATGAAAGTGTGCTTGTCACATGACCTGTCTGGATTCAATGAAAGGGTGCTTGTCACATGACCTGTCTGAATTCAATGAAAGTGTGCTTGTCACATGACCTGTCTGAATTCAATGAAAGTGTGCTTGTCACATGACCTGTCTGAATTCAATGAAAGGGTGCTTGTCACATGACCTGTCTGGTTTAAATGAAAGGGTGCTTGGCTTGAGTCAGTTGCATTTAGTTTTTGTAACAATATGGCTGGAAAAGGGACAACTAAACGTGGCATATCGTGGACTGATGAGGAAACTGAGTACCTGGTGTCAAAGAAGAATGATGAAATGGTGGATGTCTCCAGCATCGCTGTCGACAGCACATTTGGCCCTCTAGATGACAGTGGAAATGATGAGCCAACCCAGACTATGGTACAACAGGACAAATGGAGACCTGTAACTTTGCTATTTTGGAGACAGACGTTATGAAACTTTTTCTCAGAGTTGATCTGATGTTTCCATTACATTCTGCGTTGAAATGAATGTTTGACCATGAAACCATTTGGGGTTAGATTGCGATTCATCGGTATCATTTTGACCCAAACAGACTGTAAATAATATCTGAGCTAGCTGTGGGGGTACCATTGTAAGGTTTCATTAGCCAGGTCTTCGAAGGCTGTGCGGCATCTCCCAGGAGAATGATGGGCATAATTATCACTTTATCCTGGCAGCAGAGTGTCTTTGGTTGAGAGGGAAAGAGATCGTTGGTTTCTCTTTCAAAGAATATAGACCTGGTCAACAACCGCTGATATCTGTGATTATGTATTTGTAGTCACCATGAGTGCAACGATTGGGATGTGGGTACCATCTATTGCTCCTCCACAATTTTGGAAGCCCCAAACTTGTTCAAATCGCTTAATTACATTTTCAAGTTCATCATCTTTTGGGAAAGTCACATATCTTGGTAGGAGGTTGTCTGTACACACCACATGCACACATTTCCACGCAGTAGTTGTTCCAACACCAAACACATTGCCAGCAGTACGTAGGGTACTCGGCATTGGACGCTAGCCAATATATGGCAATAGCAACTCTGTGGTGATGATCCGGAGGCTGTCTCACAGGTGCTACAGTGATAGGAAAATACGGACGAAGTTCATCACACAGGAAATTGAATTTTTCTTCTGTCATGCGAAGACCCGTGAAGGTCCGGGTTAGAGTGAGCCTTCAGTAGCCCATGCTTGTCGTAAGAGGCGACTAACGGAATTGGGTGGTCAGGCTCGCTGGCTTGGTTGATACATGTCATCGGTCCCCAATTGCGCAGATCGATGTTGATCACTGGATTGTCTGGTCCAGACTCCATTATTTACAGACCGATGCCATATAGCTGGAATATTGCTGAGTGCGGCGTAAAACCCAACTCACTCACTTACTCTGTCATGCGAAAATCTTCAATCCACTGTTCTTCCGTAAAATTGTCATCCCACCAAATACGTGAACGTTTCTTTGGTCCAGACTGACTTATCCTTCGTTAATCTGATAATGAGTCCAGTAGACATCCAATATTGATAATCTTGCCGCCTTTTCAGAATAAGGAGCCTACTCATTTTGATTTCTCCAAAGATAATGATCTTCTTGTGACCAGAACTGTCCTAGAAAGGTGTTGTCTTGATTGTATGCAAAACAAAATTTGCATGAAACATATTCCTATATCATAAATTAAATGTGAATGCAAAGTAAATATACTTTAACTCCTCTAAGCAAATTTACTCCACAAGTAAAATTACTCACATAAGTAAATCTGTGCATGTAAAATGGGCTTAAGACAACTGCCCAGAATTCAATATGCCTAACACAACACAGACAACGTTTTAGTCCAATATATTCACATAGACAACTGTCCATTTGATATTTTTAGCATGGTTATTGTCCGAGATTACAAATACACTGCTCGTCCCACTGTCTCGAATACTTTCTGTGAATATAAAAGAATACTTCCGATAAATTTGTTTGAGTGAGGATTTATTGTGGTCATTTACTGATGACAGCATTTTAACTCTCTTGAGCCCATCTCTCCCTACCAATTCCCTGACTAAACATGTGAGGTGAGGTGAGGTGAGGTGAACGTGGGTTTAACGTCGTGCTTGATAATATTTCGCCCATATGACGACGTGCATGCATGTGTATGTGTAAGTGTGGCTGCTTGTACTAACCCAGACTTAAGCTGGTTTTATAGTGCTAACCCACTGAGATACCATGCCGCAGAGAAGCATGAAAAACCCACTCAGACAAATTATACTGACTCCGAGCCGATCAGTCCTTGTTGTACCCATTAATGCCGAGCGCCAGGCAGGGACCAACAAGTACCATATTTTAACGTCTTTTGGTATGATGCGGTCGGGGATCGAACCCGCGACCTTCCGCTCTCCTTGCGGACGCTCTAACCACTACACCACGGAGGCGGTCACTAAACATGTACATTAAAGTAGTAACACGTGACATTGATCAATATCACTGCCATGTGTTGGCAGACAGTCATAGAAACACGCGTTGTAGATGTCATTCTCTGGCGCTTTCCGGTAGATTTTGAATTCACGTGACATTTGAATTTGACATTCATGGGATACATGATTGTGTGTGTACGTGCTGGGCATGTTGGGTGTCGAGAAAGAAAATGTGTTGTGCAATTAGATTAATTGGTTCTTTTTTTCGCGAAGCAAATGCGTTTTGAAGCATTGACCGAAAACAGACTATCCAGTTCAGAGAATAATTACACACCACACACAGTCGAATATTAAACCTGGGCCATTGATAGGGAGGGGACATCGGTTTACCTGGGCCATTAGAGGGACATCGGTTTACTTGGGCCATTGATAGGGAGGGGACATCGGTTTACCTGGGCCTTTGATAGGGAGGGGACATCGGTTTACGTGGGCCATTGATAGGGAGGGGACATCGGTTTACCTGGGCCTTTGATAGGGAGGGGACATCGGTTTATCGATTTCGATCACTTCGATAATGCGATACCGCGAGACGAGCAAGCGATAACACAAGAAGAGGAAGCGATATTCGCTGGGGAAAGACGAGGGTATCCTGTTTGAAACACCTAATCACACACCCAACTCACATGCGAATATTTAAAGGTGTGTCATTGTGTTAGAAACGAGTGAGTATATTTTTACGCCGCGTGCACTCAACAATATTCAAGCTATATGGCGACATTGTGTCATAACATGGAGCGGGTCAAACGTATGGCTCTTATCACTCGTCACAAGCAGCGAATGTTTATCTGACAGCGGACTGAAGATATTCGCGGTCTTGGTAAGTTGGTTGACTGTTCGTCATCGTGCCGCAACGTGTCGTTGCTCATGCTTTCAATCCCCGGTCTTCTGGCCCGGATCCTGCCAATACAGGTCATCGTGTGCTGTCAATACAGGTCACCGTGTGCTGTCAATGGCAGTAAATAATATTCACCCGCTCAGTAGATTTGTGTTTGGCCCCATTCCATGCCACCAGCATGTCATACACACGCATTGTGTGAAAGTGCGTAAAAGTTATAACAGGCCCAATGACGTTAAATTCACTCACTCATTTGAGTTGTGTCAACCTCAGTTCGAGTCAACCTGGATGTTTTCTAGTCATGTTCAGGCATTTTTATCGACTTGACAAGCGAACGTAAAATAAAGACATGAAACATATGAAACGTGTTTTCACTCGTCGTTACTTTATTTGCTTCATATATATTCATAATCGTACAACTACGATAATTACACCTAAACAGCATCTTTCTCACAAAGATGAATAAACTTGGAATGACCCTGTTCCATTACAGTCGCCCAGGAGAGGAACGGCGCCATTTTGTCCTGAGAATATCTGTATCGGTTGGCAAATCTTGAGGCAAGTTTCTCTCTTCTTTTCCTCATACAAGCTTCGCTGATCTTGGGGCGAGGAGGGGAGGTTTCCTCACACTCCTTATTGGAGTCTTCCTCGGGAACTAGGCTATAAGCCCCATATCCAACTACTTTACCATCCCTCATAATCGGACAATCAAGTCGTGTGTCAAATGGCTTCGATTCCCGCACCGAGGCTAGAATATCGTCTGCTGTCACTCCGAAAGGAAGTAGAAAAGGCAGTTTGTTGCGATCACCAATTTGGCAGCTGTCTTGGGGATCTCGGAGTTTATAGAGAGTTATCCATCTTGAAATTTGATCGAGCAGTGGCTGCTGGTTCTCAGAACCCCCGTGCTTCTCAAACTGTTTGAGCAGGAGCATCACGTCTCGCCTTACATCAGACCAGTATTCTCGGGACGAGAGTGGCAGCAGCTTTCCCGTGAGGCATGCTGGTAGTACCTCCTCAACCTGCTCGTCAGTAAGCAGAAACCAGCACTTCCGTTTAGTTGGTCGGTCGTGTGGATTATGAAGCTGTCGGATGATCAGTTTTGACGGCGAACCGCGACCTTCCTTTGCCCATTGTTTGCGTATGGTATCTATCGGAGGTAACGAACGCATCTTACGCCAATCGTATATCTTTCCGTTGCGAACGAAATATCTGGTTTTGCGCTTCATCACGTTGTACCTGTACAACAGTGGCAAAGTGAAGTTGATGGCTTCTTGCTTCGAATGGATCTCTGAAGCAGACGACTCTTTGGGGCCACTCTCTGGTTCCTCTTGTTGATCGCCTGACTGGGATGGATGGTCCTTCTCCTTTAGACGCAGATTGTTGCGAATGGCTGTGATTTTTAAAAGGTTGGCAGGATTCTGGATGTGAGTTGCGAACTTGAGCGGCTGCTCGGGAAAGCTCTGAGCCATTTTGGGAGTTATGCAACCCATACTGGAAACAGTGGAAAGATGTAGTCAGAAGAGTATCGGAGTGAATGTTATACACTTATTTCCCTTTGCTTTTTAGAAAACAGACAAAATTCGAAAGAGTTACCAATTTAAATTTTAATATCGAGCAAACATTCTAATGCGTTGGACGAAAAATTAACGCATTGAAACAATACAGAAAAAAATGCGGCGCGTGAACCTATAATATAAGGGAAAAATACTAATAAGCAGACACAAACTTTGCTTGGTGTCTGTGTTTGTCTGGTTGAATTCGATTAACTAACTACCTGGGGGCCAGAGCGCTATATATGTCCTTAGTCTTCAACCCTCACTTGAAGTCGAATATAACTTACAATGCATTACGCACACAAAAAAAATCTGTTTCTTGATACCACGCTGGCTTACAGGGGTTTAACACGAAAGTGAATATCAGAGTATAACTCAAATATCGAAAAATCGCTCGAAAATTAAAATGTCCCTAATGCTGCAACCTCATCAGTTACATGCTTTGGAGCCACATTTCAGCAAACGTATTTTTGATTAAGGTCTCTATACGTCACAGATTTGTGAGGACAACATTCTGTTTATTTAGCGACACGACTAACATTTGCGACAGAACAACAACTTAGAGTTGGAACTGAAGAAGGAATTGGCGCATTTCCCTTAAAACCCCCTCGATGCCATTTGGACAAATATCACAGTGCATATGTCCCTACACATGTCCCTATGTCCTGTACCAGGGGGACGTATATGTCCTTTTGTAACAATTTGAAAATATAGTAAATTTCCAACAACACCTTTGCCGACCTATTTCTTTCGCATAGTCAAGATAATGATATAAAATATTTACAGTCATTGAGGGAAATGAAAGAACTTTCACAGTGTGGATTTTGAACATTGTGAGTAACATCGTTGCTATTTGACGTACTTTTTAGACGAATGTATGCAGTTTTCACAACGTCTCCCTCAAATTAACTCGGCATGCACAGCGACAAGTTATTTCTATACGGTTGCCAGGGGGTTAACCAAAAAATATGGCGAAATGTATCCAGTTTTCTGCAATGTTGTCATCTACTTTGATAAAAATAGACATACACAATGTATATACCTATGTTATGTCAAGCCCACTAGTCACAAATAGAAACAAACAGTTTATCTAAAATGATTTACCATATAGGATGTGTTGTAGCGCTGTGTGGAAATAACGGACCTAGACTGCAAAAGCCCGATGAAATCCGCTGGAGACCAACTTTTCTAAAATGTGGACAACTGCAACATAGCAAACGAAAGGTACAGAGTCGGAAGTCTGCTATTACAAATATGGGGGGCTGAGTAGGATTTCGCTTTTTCTTCCTTGACATGTACCAATTGCGGGAAGCATATACCTTTTCGATGTGATAGTTTAGATGGTGAATTAGAAGAAAAGCATGTTTTTAATAAAGTGACAGTAGGGTGAAAACAGACAAAATTACCTTTTGTGAGATGTCCAACACAAAACGACGTTGAATGATGACGTCAAGACAAATACTTCTACATCGACGTCATAGTGGATATGACGTCATACACTGGTCATTTTAGCCGTGAAGAAACAGACAAGCTATGGTCACGAAATAAGTACAGAGTAACGCAGTTACAACACTGCAGTATACTTCGCATTACCACTGAAATATCCGTTCGGGTACACTTACAGAATACCGGATACCTAATTATATACATTCTATTGTGCGCGTGAGGCTCCTATATATAGAAGAAACAGAGAGCGCGAGCCTGCGAGCAATCCAATAAAAATACGAATTTAAGGTAAAAAATAAGGTTAAAATCGAATTCCTCACCTTACTTCCGGTTTAGGAAACCTAAACTGGGGATTTTAACAGCATTCACTGACGTAAACAGAGTAAAAAGTAATCGTGTGTTGAAATATTATTCAAATGCATGCTGGGAAAAGGAACTCTACAGTGTGGGAACACTCTGATGGTAAGTGATTTTTGATTGGTAAGGTAAGGTAGGTAAGGCTTTTAAATAAAGGGGGGTACCCCCTTTACCTTACCTTTTTTTAGCTTTAATATTGTTTAATATTTAATATTTAATATTTAATATTGAACGCTGCTTCAACACAGCCTTCATTCATCGCGTGCCGTTGCTAAGGAAACAAAATGGAAGTGCGCAAAAATAAATGCGCAATCAAAATAAAAATGGCGGATAGGTATCCGGTATTCTGTAATCTTGCCTCCGTTCGTATTAGAAAAAACAAAACACATGGTTTTCTTGGGTTTTAACCACTTATAATTGAAATTTACTCGAAATAGCTCACCAGCATATGTAGGATGAACGGCCGGTAGTATGAGGTAGTTATAGACATTACAAAGGGGGGTGGGAGAGAGAGAGGGAGGAAGTATAAGTGAGTGAGTGAGTTTAGTTACACGCTGCACTCAGCAATACTCAAGCTATATGGCCGCGGTCTGTAAATAATCGAGTCTGGACCAGACAATACAGTGATCAACAGCATGAACATCGATCTACGCATTTGGGATTCAATGATCAATTCTAACCCGGATCTACACAGGTTTTATCTAAAGGAGGTATGAACGTGACAGTAAACACCTTCTGGGGAAAATATATCAAAGGATAAATACAAACGCTTTAAAATATTCGGATGTGTCGTTCAATAAAGTGTGCAACCTACCTACAGTGTATATTACCAGCACGAACTGAACTAAACAAATACGAATATAGTATTAAATTATTTTAGTATGGACCAAGTTCGACACAAACATATGAACACTCTTGGTCTCCCGACTGTCGAGTTTTACTCTGATTGTAAATACCCGATAAAACACGCTCAGAGCTAAATACTTTCTCGACTTGTCACTTTTTGAAAGAAAAGAAAGGACAGAAAGTACATTTCAACACTGAACTATTGGCATCCACGCACTGCACGTTGGCATCTAAGATATCACATATCAGGGCTTGGCATCCCATGGACCAAATGGGGTGTGGCACCCTCAGTAATTTGGAGCTGTAGGGCAGCGGTCTGTAGATATTCTGAACCCGACAATCCAGTGATAGATTTGAGTACAGCAATACTGTTTGTCAAACACTATCTGCACAAAAATGTGTCCTATCATTTGTTGTTGGCGAGTGGCTAAGGCGAGATACGATGACGTTCCTGGGCCCCGTTTCACAAAGCTCTCGTAAGCCTAAGATCTCGTAACTTTTCTCGTAGCATTCGTACCTCCTATGTTACAGTATAGGAGGTACGAATATTACGAGAAAAGTTACGAGATCTTAGGCTTACGAGAGCTTTGTGAAACGGGCCCCTGGCCTGAGTTGACGTTAGGGGATTGTGTCCACACATGGCAACAATTTATAAGGAACACCTGGCTTTTTGAAGACCTCGCCCAAGAAATGGAAGCATGCATACATGACAGACATGACTCATCCACATTTAGTACTGACCACTGAATATTCTGGGTGTTGTTTTCAGAGACATGTTTCTTGTTTCAATGAAGGTCAAACAGTGAAAGGGTGAGCTGAACACAGCAGTGTACTATCTTTTCACATAGCATCATAAATTACGTTTTTTCTTTAGTTCTACTCACTTCAGTATTCCAAATTCACTGCTCTCAACTGATTTATCAGGTCAGTTGACATTTATTAAGAACATACACATAAAACCTGTCCTTTATTTCCTTAGCAGCCACCAGTCTTAATCACCAGTGATACCACCATCCTGGGATGCAGCCATAGTGTAGGTTAATCATCAATACAGTTCCTGATTTTGAATTTTCCTGCATTTCAGTGGGGAAAAAACAGTACCAGTGCATGTGCTGAAGCATGTTTGAGTATCCCTCTGAAACAAATATTGCCAGTTAAGAGCAAGGATAACCTTCCACTTCAAAAGAGAGAGAGAGAGAGAGTTATGCAATTCCGAAAGACAATTTCGGAAATAAGCATGAAAATCACAACCCTAATGTTAAACCTTGAAAATATTTGGGGTCCCTAGATTCAAACACAACATCTGAAGAGCCAACAGTGCTAAGTGACCAGGACTGGCAGGCACTAACAAGACACATAGCTGGAAAAACTCACAGAAGCAAACCATAATCAACTCAACAAGGCAATCTACTTCATCATGTACTGATATGTATTGTTTCAACGATTGTAATTATCATTTTCATTATGTTCAAATCAGCTGCATCATCAACTAATACGTCTCTGACCGATACCGAGAATAACGATAACCGAGATTCAAACTGATACGCCCTAACCTATACCAGTGTTTCCGCTGACTTCATTATTTATCGGACACCGAGTCTGGTGACCTAAAATTTTACCGGTCATTAATGAAATTTGCCAGTCATATCCTATTACAATACTGTAAGTACTCATTTTAAAGGTATTTTTAGCCTGGGTATTTCCAAAGCATAACAGTTTTTGTGAACATGAAAGCACAGCCAAGACTGTCATTTCGCTTACCCATGATGTTTTTATTTCAATACATGATTATTTACCGGACACGGTGTTTTGCTGGCTTTCAATTTACCGGCCCCGAACAAATTTTACCGGCGATTTTCAGGTATATACCGGAGAACGGAAACACTGCTATACTGAGAATAACAATAACCGAGATTCAAACTGATACGCCCTAACCGATACCGAGAATAACGATAACCGAGATTCAAACTGATACGCCCTAACCGATACTGAGAATAACGATAACCGAGATTCAAACTGATACGCCCTAACCTATACTGAGCATAACGATAACCGAGATTCAAACTGATACGCCCTAACCGATACTGAGAATAACGATAACCGAGATTCAAACTGATACGCCCTAACCGATACCGAGAATAACGATAAGCGCCCTAACCGATACCGAGAATAACGATAACCGAGATTCAAACTGATAACGCCCTTCAAACTGATACGCGAGAATACCGAATAACGATAACCGAGATTCAAACTGATATAACCGATACCGAATAACGATAACCGAGATTCAAACTGATACGCCCTAACCGATACCGAGAATAACGATAACCGAGATTCAAACTGATACGCCCTAACCGATACTGAGAATAACGATAACCGAGATTCAAACTGATACGCCCTAACCGATACTGAGAATAACAATAACCGAGATTCAAACTGATACGCCCTAACCAATACTGAGAATAACGATAAATGGTTGCCTAATGTGTCAAGCTAAGGTTGCTGGGACACTTATTCGTGCTGAAATCCCCACAGGGACATGTTGTATTGTGAGTTAAGAACAGCAATACACCTATAATCACAAAATAGAGGTTCAGGTGTATAGTGTTCAGTAAACCTTTCATACAGTTCAAAAGATCTATAGTTTCTCACAATATTAAATTTATTGAACATATATTACAAAAAGAGGAGCATTTTCCAGGCAACCAACTGATTCTCTGACACTAGTGGAAGTCTAACATGGCATGTCCAGGAGACTTATGTATTTATATACATGCCTTAGAGTGAGTTAATACTTAATGTCACTACAGCAATATATCAGCCATATTGTGACTACATGCCTTAGAACAAGCATAGGATGATACACATTGCCTATAATATATTCACATTACATAATTCAATACAACTTCCTGGTCTGACCAGGGGCAGGTTACCCCACACCACTTGCACATTACAGCTACTACACAGTACAAATATAGTCTTAGCATAACATGATACATGCGACTCCATAGACATGGGAGAACTCATAAATAGAAAACGACCTTGTGTTCTTACGGACTGACTGACTGAGTTTAGTTTTACACCTCTTTTAGCAATATTCCAGCTACATCACGGCGGGAGACACCAGAAATGGGCTTCACACATTGTACCCATGTGGGGATTCGAACCCGGGTCTTCGGCGTGACAAGCCAACGCTTTAACCACTAGACTACCCCACCGCCCTTGTTCTTATGGAATAAGCATGAAAACCAAATGAATATAATCTTGACCCCAGTACTTTCTGGATTTATCCAAACCTATTAGAGCAAGCATGTGGAGATACTTTATCCTGCCACCAACAATATTGCAGCCATATCATGGCAAGTATCACATGTGGGGTTCATCTTTGTACCCATATGGGGAATGGAGCCTGGGCCTTGGCACGACCAATGACTCAACCACTGTAAGGGAGCATCCACCTTATTTCTATTGGGCCAAATATTGTTTTAAACGAATGGTTTGTTCAGAAATAAACCAAAACATGAAGAGTTTACCAAATGTCAATTAATGTTTGGTTAGAAAGCAATTTTCCAACTGACTAAAAAACATTTTTTATTTATAAAATAGGAACACCTCGAAATGGGGCAAACCAGGTTGTTGACAATCCCCAATGTATCTGAAAGCCAGAAAGGGGGGGGGGAAGAAGAAGAAGAAGGGAAAGATGAAAATGGGCTTAATGTCACATGTAAATGTACAGCACTTATACATCAATGTAAGTGTTCACATGTGTGCATGCTCCCCCCCCCAGAGTTTAGCCAGGATATGTCGTTGTCTCAGTGAACCGATTCAAAACCAACAGGTCCTTGTTGTATCCCCATATTTCAGATTGCCAGGTAAAGTAACATCCAGTACCATCTCTTGGTGCTACAGGACCAGGGATCAAGCGTTGTCTCTCCCACAGATGCTCTATCCAATACGCCACAACGGTGGTGATCAGTAGAAAACTAATGCCTGGGCATCATCTTTTGATCATAACGTCATAAATGAAAAGGAACAAGCTTGATTCTTTGGTCATCCTCAGGATGTCGAAGCACTATCTGACATCGCAACAAAAGTTCAATGTATGGTGGCCAGAATCTGTTTGTAATTATCACATATGGATCGTGTGGTTCATCAATGCACTTATTCATCAGTTCTTGAAGCACGACTTTAAATGGGACAAGATTTTCCATGGAGATCTTCTTGTCACTTGACCGTAGTTTCTTCTTCCCAGCCTTAACCTCTTCAACACTAGGCAATGGGAAATGTTCGTTGACAAAATGCACCAATCTCTTCGTCAAACTTCTATTCATTGTCTCCCCTTTCCGAATCTTTATGTCAAGTTCAGTCATCACAGATGACATGGTAACCTCTTCCTCATCATTGTTGGCAATGCCCTCCAACTTAATCTCCAGGCAATTATGAACTGATTGCAGCTGTCTCTGTATTTCTTCCTCACGGGATATTTGCTGGGTCAGCTCCTTTTTCTGACTCTTTACCAAGGTAAACACTTCCTGCAGTTGTGATATACTCTTAGCAAGGTCTTTTCTCAACACTTCCCTGAGGATGTCAGGATTTTCAGGTAAAACACTAGGTTTTGACTTTTTGATGGTCTCAATCTCACCCTTCACTCGTTTCTCCTTTTCTTGCAAAATTGCTAATAGGGGAGAATGATCACCTACAGCTTTTGGATCACCGTTTTTTGTTATTAATTGATGGTTTGTCTTAACAACCTCCCACTTCTCTTGACAGACTTGCTTCAGTTCTGCTACAGCTTCATCTGTCCCAGGTGTGCTATCTTTATCAGGTGGAGTTTCCTCCTCTTGCAAACTTGCCATTTCCAGTGTCTCTGTAGGTCACATTCTGTTAAAAATGAGAAAAAAAACTGTTTTCAGAAAAAGAAGCAAAATCCCAACAAACAGAAGCTTGGAGCGCCTATTCGCTAAAGCAGTGTTAGAATTTGAAACCAGGTCGTCCCTGAAACAAGCAAATGCTTAACCACATGGCTACCCTGCTTTGCTCTACACATAACAATTAGATATACATTCATACCTATAAGATTTCCTACTTCCTATTTCCATAAGGACTTAGTGACCATGTTGAGTGAAATCTGCATTGTTGCCAAATACAATTGTACTGGTATACACTAAAATACTGAATTCCATTAGAAACACATCACCTGGATAAAACGTTTTAGCTCCCTGAAAATGAAGGAAACAACTTGTCCCTACTGACATTATAATTGTTAATCCAGATGGAAACATAAGGAAAAGCATATACAGTCATTCAACATCTAGTGCAAACATAAATTAACGATAACAATGATGGGGGTCAAACTGAAACTTGACACACACTCAAAGATTTTACACAGTCTATGTCAGTAACGGGTATTGCCCCCATTTGCTTTGAGCACAGCTACACATCTTTGACACATTGATAAGATGACCATCCTCATGAAAACTTGCGATATCTGAAGCCATATTCGCTGCAAAGCAAGTAATTTGGTTGTACATTATTCGGTTTAGCCCCAGCAATAGTTCTCTCCCCATCTCGTCCCACACATTTTCTATCAGCTCTAGATCTGGAGTTGCCATCAGGCCAGGAATGTTATTTTGGTGAAGAAAGTTCATGCTGTGTCTAGCAGCATATCTGGTTGTGCATTATTGCAAAATGTGAAGACGTTGAAATGTTGTCAGGTGGGGAACAACTATTGTTCTCAGTATTTCCGCTGTGTACATTTGAGCTGTAAATCATCCACGACAGATGAGGGGGGTGTGTGTGTGTGTGTGTTAGCAATTTTGTACATAAAAGTATGCTTAAAATTACGTTTAGAAATTATGATTCACATTGTGCATGCTTCTCAATAAAAATCATCATCACTCCCCCCTAGCTATAAATTATGAATGGTCCCTAATCCCTCCAAAAATCATAACTATTGTCTCCACGCCAGCGGTTCACCTGCTGAAGGCAACAATCAGCATTACTTTCTCCACGTTGTCACACATGGTTGCCCTGGGTGTGGTTGATAATGTGTTCTGCCAGTTTGGTGTAGGCGCTGTGGTAACCTGACGATTTTTTAATTGTGACGATTAGACCTTCTGGCCACTTGATCCGCAGACAAATCAGGCCCAAGATACCAATCTCTTTATCTCTCAACAGATGATAAAAGTGGGACTATGAAAAGGCAACAGCTTAATGCTCTTCAAAATTTAGGTGTGATTTTGGTACACTGTTGAATGATCTGTCAATGTGTTGAGGAACCATCACGTTTTCTGCATTTTCACACGATTACCAGGTGAAAACATGATTTTCAGCAAATGGTGGATCATGTGATCACAGGGATGGTTGTGCTTCTCGGTGTGTGCATCACATTTATCTGTCATAGTCATATTTTAAGCACAAATGGGGTTCAAAATTCCTTTTGCATATTCCAAGTTATAATACTAATACCCAGATAGCATTCGGACATTGGCCCAACGTTGTTGGCAAAACCATTGCCAACATTGGGCCAATGTCTGAATGCTATCTGGGTAGGGTGATGCGTTTCTAGTGGATTTCAGTATATATTAAAACATACCAAACATGAAGATACGATGAGCAGATATGGCTGAAGGGGTTGTTGTCGGCACGGGGTACTACAGGGGTGGGGTGGAGGTGCAGGGGTGCGCACTAACTCTTTTGTCCTGAAAGTTTATTAAAAGATCCGTGAAACGGGTGAAAATAAGTGTGCACCCCCACTTTCTCAAAAAGCTGTATCCGCCAGTGACACTGAGAGTGGGGAAAAAGTTCCTTCCGTTCCCCCCAACCCTAAACCTAACTGAAATTTGGGACTTTTAGTCATTTTGTGAGTTCTCTAGTAATTGTTGTGTTAATAATTTGGCTAGAATGCACTTTACCGTGTGCAGCCCTCGCTGCTCCCTTTACGATCCTTATGGTTAGGGTTTAGGGTAAGGGTATGCTACCCTTTACGATCCTGAGGGTTAGGGTTTAGGGTAAGGGTATGCCGCCCTTTACGATCCTTAGGGTTAGGGAACCCCAGCAGCGCTAATTAATCTGAAAAAGTGCGCCCGGTAAAGTGCAGTACTCCCTGTCAATCTGACACGAAGCATTTTATGTTAAAATTCTTCCAATATCTAGACACTATTCTAACTTAGCTTATTGAATCAATAAGAACATCATATTAAGCACGATTAAATATCGCCTTATTTGCAATATCAGGTATAATTACGGAATGAATGGTACCTTTATAAATTTTGGTGTAGAAGTACCCGAGCAAGCGACAAAACAGCTAACACCCAGACATAGTCAATGATTATCATCGTTCCCGCCACCGGAAACGACAACAATTTAACTACATTGCGGATTAATCGGACGTGAACTCCATTCATCGCTGTGTTGCGCCCTTTACATCTCCAGTTGAAAAGGTTTTACTACAAAAGCAATGTTCCGAGTTTACATCTTCTACTAAAACGAATCCGGAATATAATTGTACTCCCTGTGACCGGAGGCCTAAATGTGTTTGGATAACCTATTTAGAAAATAATGTTTATTTTAAAACGAAATAAGGGAAATCAGAAATACTGATAATTAGATCTAAATCTATGTCCAGAGGTGATTTTGTTTTTGGGGGTGTACTAATGTAAAATAATAACTTTTGTCAGGTAATTCAAGCGGATGAAAACGTTACTTCATCTTAAAGTACAAATTTTCATTAATATACCACGGAATCTGTTTCAAACGTCATTAGTTAAAAAAACAAAAATTGGTATAAACACTAAAGTTCTCATGAGAGTTATCTCCCTTCTACCGTATGCTAAAGTCCAACTCCGTGTCAAGTCAATTACATGTTGGTTCAATGCCTGGGGAGATGAATAAGAGGGTATATCTGAAGTCACGACCTGGTAATATATCACAAGTTGACGAATAATGTAAATGATATGTCACCAATCTCACCACAAATTTTGAACAGACAAAATACTCTTAAATCGTGAATCCAATGTATGTGTGTCAGGCTGGAATGAGAGAGACTTTCTTTCGAGATTGCAGTGGTGTGTCTGTGATGGTAAATTAGTGTAACTATGTAAATAACATGTTAAACCAAACACAAAAGACGTTTGTAAAGTTTTATGTTATGTTTTTAATGTGGCAGTGAGCTTATATCCCTTGATCTTTGGTCACATGTTCAAACTCATTCAGTTTGCAAACTTCCCTATAATTTGCAGATTAAACCAGAAACTAATACTATCTGGTCTGTTTCAGGGGTGAATGGGGAACCTACCGAAGATAATTTTTGTGTAGAAGACTGTGAAACACCTTCACCAGACCAGCTCCATGACGGAGAGGCACTGGTCCAAACCCTCTACCTCTCTGTCGACCCAGCATTTGTATGCATGTCATGTACACTACAAACTTTCAAAAAACCCATGCTGTCTCCATCAGGATATAATGGAGTGTACTGTCATTCACAAACAGTAACATCCAATTTCTATAATCATCACAGTATACAGATGATAAAATAGCTATGTTGAAAGTTTGGTGGTGACACTTGCAGAACTTCTTTTATTACTAGATAGTGTAACAACAGGATTTACCTGCATAATTCAGTATGAATTTGTTGCCACTCAATATCCACTGACTGATCACGATGAGAAGATGAACGAGGGTTGATGGGTCAGCTTATGTATGGAGCATACCATTTTGATAATGATTATGAGGGTCAAGCAGGGACCTCGGCTTATCTATGAGATTGGCTTAACTACAGTGTTTTACGGTAATTTCATGACACATTTTAAGCTACTGGGGCAACATCTGCATTAATTTTATGACACATTTTAAGCCACTGGGATGACACTTGCAGTCATATTTTTATGCATACATTTTACAATTTACAGTGATGTGTATAATTCCTGCCATGGGACATAAGTCGTAAGCCCATGTTTAACTCCCCTTCGCACTTGGCATCATCAGTGTGAACATATATAATGCATCTGTCTCTGTTGTCTCTTTTTAAAACTGATGAATATATCAATATCATTTTACCCACATGAAGAAAGCGTTTGTTTTTAAGCCGATTAAATGTCATATTTCTAAAATGATTCAGATTATCCACAACAACATTATGGCTTGGCTATATTTTTGGCCTGTCTGAATTTGCCAATTATATTTGTTTGCAAGGTAACAGAAAACACATATGCTTGTCTGAATGCTTCACTGACTGTTACTGAGAATTTAGAAGCTGTGGTGCTGATTTGCTGATGAGAAAAATCACCTGACAAAGATTATAATGCAATTGACGCCACACCCTCTTGACTTTTCAGAGATGTTGTTTAAATGAGGACTCTGGGGCGGAGTATTTGACTCCCCTGCAGATCGGTGACACTGTGCACTGGTTAGGTATTGGTGTTGTCACGGCAAGCAAGGACAAGGGACTCGACCATGGGGACTTTGTCACATCAAACTTTGACTGGCCATGGACAAAGGTCTTTGTCAAGGCGGCTAACCGGCTGAAAAAGGTACCTATGTTTAAATTCATTATCATATCATAATGAATGAATGAGATTTTGACATTTAATAAATGGCCTAATTTCTGTAATATTGTACACATTGACTGCAACACAACATATGATAAGCAGCACGCAGGTGAAACAGTTGTTTGTGTTCTAGTCACAAAAGTGAAAATCGCAGAAAACCAAACTAGTGCCCTATCAAAATTTTGTCACCATTACACAGCCCGTAGCCTTTTCGAATTCCAAGATAAAACATACTTCAATTTCATTCATCAATGTAATGATTCACACTTATGCTATCAATAAAAGCGACAAAGTGGAGATTTCAGGGACGTTGTCCAGTAACCCTACCCGTTGGGAAACAAAATACAAAAAAAGAAACAGGCTGTCCCAGTGAATTGTTGGAGATCAGTGCCCTTTTTAACAGTGCAAAACCCAATTCAAAATACACTGGTTCAAACATTCAAGAATCTCGGTCATAACCACAAATGCAATAAGTATCCTATCCTCACCATAACTGACCCACTTCGTTCCCCTTACATATCATCAGCTCTGTTTGATAAGACTGCCAGGGTAACACCCTTGCTTGACATTGATATAATATTTATACACAATTTTCAAGTTGCACTTTTTGTATTCATGTAAAATTGTAATGTTTATTGTGATGAAAATTGTTAAAATTGCTCATAAATTCAACAGCCAGCTGTTCAGATTGAAATGCAGAAATTGGAAGGCTTTCATTTGGAATGTAGTTACATGCTAATGCTATGCTGATTTCACAAGCAGCTGGGAGGGAGGTAGGGCGAGAATAGAGGTATTTTGGAAATTGGTCTTAGGAGTGTCATTTATTTAACCCTGTTTGGGTGATTATGTACTGAATTGTTATAAATGAGAAGAGAAGCATGTCACTTCCTTATCAAAGGTGGCACATTGGTCCAAGGTATATATCACACCTGAATGGGTGGGATACAATACCATGTGTCACATGATTCTTCAGGTCTTCCAGTTTTGTGATTTCTTAATGTATGACTTTCTTATTTCAAGCTGCCAAAAGAAAGTGTTCAAGAACGTCCATCTCTAGCTCTCAGTGCTCTTGGTGTGACTGGTCTCACAGCTTATCTTGGAATCAAGGTGAAAGGTCATGTGTCCCCGGCAGCCAATCAGACGATGGTTATCAGTGCTGCAGCAGGATCAACAGGGTCACTTGCTGGACAGGTTAGTATGGTCGATTGTGCAGGCCTGTATCCCCTTTGAAAGAGGTCACCAATAAATGGCGAGAGGGACTTTTCAGTGAAGACAAGGATAGGGAAGATGTTCTAGTGGGGGGTTATAGAGAGCTGTCACAGGTATTGAAGTTGGGTTACTGCTAGGATAGGGATAAGGGTTATGCAATCAGGGGACAGGGGGTGATTGGGCCAGAGCGTTGGATTCTAGGGACAGGGATCAGCAGTCCTGCAATGGTCTGGACAGGGGCTTGAGTACTGCAGTCAGGTGGCTGTCTGGTATAGGGGCTGGGGTACTGGAGTCAGGTGGTGGTCTGGGATAGGGGCTAGGGTACTGCAATCAGGTGGTGGTCTGGGATAGGGGCTGGGGTACTGCAGTCAGGTGGTGGTCTGGTATAGGGGTTGGGATACTGCAATCAGGTGGTGGTCTGGTATAGGGGCTGGGGTACTGCAATCAGGGGGTGGTCTGGGATAGGGGGTAGGGGTACTGCAATCAGGGGTGGTCTGGGATAGGGGCTGGGGTACTGCAATCAGGGGTGGTCTGGGATAGGGGCTGTGGTACTGCAATCAGGGGTGGTCTGGGATAGGGGCTGGGGTACTACTGCAATCAGGGGTGGTCTGGGATAGGGGCTGGGGTACTGCAGTCAGGTGGTGGTCTGTGATAGGGGCTGGGGTACTGCAGTCAGGGGTGGTCTGGGATAGGGGCTGGGGTACTGCAATCAGGGGTGGTCTGGGATAGGGGCTGGGGTACTGCAATCAGCTAGTGGTCTGGGATAGGGGTAGGGGTACTGCAATCAGGGGTGGTCTGGGATAGGGGCTGGGGTACTGCAGTCAGGGGTGGTCTGGGATAGGGGCTGTGGTACTGCAATCAGGGGTGGTCTGGGATAGGGGCTGGGGTACTGCAATCAGGGGTGGTCTGGGATAGGGGCTGGGGTACTGCAGTCAGGTGGTGGTCTGTGATAGGGACTGGGGTACTGCAGTCAGGGGTGGTCTGGGATAGGGGCTGGGGTACTGCAATCAGGGGTGGTCTGGGATAGGGCTGGGGTACTGCAATCAGCTAGTGGTCTAGGATAGGGGTAGGGGTACTGCAGTCAGGGAGTGGTCTGGGATAGGGGCTGGGGTACTGCAATCAGCTAGTGGTCTGGGATAGGGGTAGGGGTACTGCAATCAGGGGGTGGTCTTGGATAGGGGCTGGAGAACTGCAGTCCGGAGGTGTCCTGGGATAGGGGCTGGGGTACTGCAGTCAGGGGGTGGTCTGGGATAGGGGCTGGGGTACTGCAATCAGGGGGTGGTCTGGGATAGGGGCTGGGTTACTGCAATCAGGGGGTGGTCTGGGATAGGGTCTGGGTTACTGCAATCAGTGGATGGTCTGGGATAGGGGTAGGGTACTGGTCAGGCGGTGGCCTGGGATAGGGGCTGGGGTACTGCAATCAGGGGGTGGTCTGTGATAGGGGCTGTGGAACTGCAATCAGAGGGTGGTCTGGGATAGGGGTTGAGCTACTGCAATCAGGGATTTGTATGTATTTATGGTCCAGTCCAGTAGTGTAGATGTTCGTGTGTGCTGCAGATAGCCCGGGCCGAGGGCTGCAAGTGTGTGGTGGGCATCTGTGGCAGTGAGGAGAAGTGTGCATATCTCACATCCCAGCTGGGTTTTGATGCTGCCATTAATTACAAGGCAGAGGATGTCAGTAGTAGACTGAAGGAAACGTGTCCAGATGGAATAGACGTGTACTTTGACAACGTTGGTGGTGACATCAGCGACAAGGTCATACAACAGGTGAGCCAGAGACTTGGTTACTTCTTGAATATGGTGTACACGCCAACATACTCACTAGTGTTCAGATACCAGTACTTCAAGAGATGATGAGATGTTCAGTATTGCCCCACTGTGGTGTCCACTTCCAGATGAACCAGGACTCACATGTGATTCTGTGTGGTCAGATCGCAGTCTACAACAAGGATGTCCCCTATCCTCCTCCCATTCCAACATCCACTCAGCAAACTCTGGCGGAGAGGAACATCACCAGGTGGGTGTTAGAAGTAATGGCTGTGGTGAGGGAAGTCATGTCTGTGGTGAGGGAAGTCATGTCTGTGGCGTCAACAGCAATGTCTGTGGTGAGGGAAGTAATGTCTGTGGTGAGGGAAGTCATGTCTGTGGTGAGGGAAGTAATACCCATGTTGGAACACATGTCTGTGGTGTCAAAAGCAATGTTTGTGGCGTCTGAAGTTATGTCTGTGGCGTCTGAAGTTATGTCTGTGGTGTCAAAAGCAATGTTTGTGGCGTCGGGAGTTATGTCTGTGGCGTCGGAAGTTATGTCTGTGGTGTCAAAAGCAATGTTTGTGGCGTCGGAAGTTATGTCTGTGGCGTCGGAAGTTATGTCTGTGGTGTCAAAAGCAATGTTTGTAGCGTCGGAAGTTATGTCTGTGGCATCGGAAGTTATGTCTGTGGCGTCGGAAGTTATGTCTGTGGTGTCAAAAGCAATGTTTGTGGCGTCGGGAGTTATGTCTGTGGCGTCGGAAGTTATGTCTGTGGCGTCGGAAGTTATGTCTGTGGTGTCAACAGCAATGTTTGTAGCGTCGGAAATTATGTCTGTAGTGTCAACAGCAATGTTTGTGGCGTCGGAAATTATGTCTGTATTGTCAGATGTATGTTCCTAATGTTGAAGTGTCTGAAATATTGACAATCCTTCTAGTTGGGCATTCTCTTTGTGCAGTGGTGGGGTCTGGGGGGACAGTACTCAGTGACCTATCTGCGCTACACCCCAAGCACACACAGGACAGTGATTGGTAACTACCTTCCTCCTTTAGTCAACATCTCCAGTAGTCCGACAGGCATAGCAATCTCTGGTATTTGCATGAAGGGTTAAATCATGACATAGAGTTACCAGTGACAACTTATCCGTATCTGTGCTGAAATAAGTACAGGATAACTAGCAGTGAACAGCTGCTGAAAATCTAGACACTTTATAGTGATGACAGCCTAAATACATGACTGTGATAGTATTAGTGAGGACTTATTCTTGTCTTGAGGGATAAGCTGCAATATTGTTCTGAAGATTCAAACAGAGTTCAAACACAAACTATAAAAATATTGCAGCACAAGTTGTTTGTTTTGTATGGCAGAGATCGCTTCCTTGTGTTGAACTATGCAGACCAGTTTGATGAGGCTCTGCAGACTCTCGCTGGCATGTTGCACCAAGGCAAGCTGCAGGTGATGTAGCTTTAGTTTTTGTGTGAGAGATACTGACCTCATCCACCTGAAGAAGGGGCAAGAACTAGCCCAGAAACATTGTGAAAAATACATCAAGAAGTTGTCATCCATAAGATTTGTCTTGAATTACTCATGTATACTTTGCTATCAAAATTCTTAAGAAAACATAACTGTTTCCTGCAGAATTTTTCTGTCTCAGTCCTTAATAGTTTCCCTTTGGCAAAACGCTGCCTGTATTGCAAAGGCTCAGTGGGCTATTTTTCCATTAATTGGAGCTATTTGCTTCTCTCTGATTTATATATTTTCAGAGACTAAGTCTTAGTCTACTGTGGACCGTAATATAAAGGAAGGTCACCTTTATTATGAGAGAAAGAGACCCAGAGCTATATCTTACAGAGTATATGGCAGTAGTCTCAGGAAAGCAGACATGATGATCTTGTATGGAAGTGATTTATTGTTAAATATGATGATATTCGGTTTGACATACATTTGTGAGGTGACTTTGTAGGAGAGATTGAAACTTAGAACTTTCAGCTTACTCGGTCATGCTCTAATGTTTCAGGTTCGAGAAACTGTAATGGAGGGTGTTGAGAATGCAGGGAAAGCCTTCGTGTCTATGATGAAGGGTGGAAACATAGGGAAACAAGTGGTGAAAGTGGCAGACATGTGAACCGGCCAGCTTCCCCAGAATGACAGACGTGGGAAGAGGGCAGACATGAGAAGAGGACAGACATGAGAAGAGGGCAAACGTGAAGGGTCATATGTGTGAGAGAGCCAGACATCAGACAGGTGTGAAGGGGGTAAACATAAGAAGATGATCTTTGTGTGGACTGAGGAGACGTTGACACTCTGTACATCCCATACATGCAGGATGAAGAACCACATTCATTATAATCATCAACATCAACAATAAACCATATTTCCATTGACGTCAGCGATCTTGACCCGAGTTTGTTTTCTTTCATTTTCAAGTGTTTTTGTTTCTAATTAAAATGTACGTAACCTTTGCTTACACTCATGGTGTAAATTCGTCTTGGTAACAATCCATTACGTGACTGAAAACCACCATTTGATGAAGACTGAGCAAGACACCAGCTATCACCTCTCAGTTCTTTCCAGGCTCTTACTAACCTAATGCCTGTATGTTGGAAATGTCGGTTATTATTGAAATGATGATGCGACTCATTTTGGATAACTATTTTAAAAGTTTTTGCCAGTTGTTTTCAAATCAATTATTTGCATTTATCTAGCATCTGTTTGCTGTTAGAGTGCACCCTATATTTTGAAACCCCCTGTGAAAGAGTGAGTTGTAAGGCATCAGGACTCCTGCAGCTGTATTGTTTCACTATTGGTAACTGAATGATTGAACACAAATAACACAACACTAATAATCATAAAATGTTTTTACTGCATAGAACATTGTCAGCTGTATTTACATAAGCCAGTGACTACTAGTATATGTACACTTTGTACATGGAAATATAAGCTGTGAGATCGAGCTCATAACACAATACAGCGGACATCTCAAAAACATACATATCAAATATTTCATGCACCAAGTTGCAATTTTCTGAACATACATACTCTCATCCATTGTATTTTTGTGTTTAAATTATCTCCAACACCTGACTAGCTAAATAGAAAAATATTTGTATATGTATTCTCATTGAAATAAATTAATCCGTAATTATTCTTTTTTCATCTGGTATGATGATGAACATTTAACATTACTACTGTTTACATTTCAACCCTCACTCGAAGAAAAAATGGAAATACTATGTAAATAACTGCAGATTTACTTTTGAAATCCAGCCCTGTGGAACACCTGTCTGCATGTCAGTACCCTAAAGGACTCCTTCCCAAGAATGTTACTCACAGTACAGTTTGCATACAACCTAAATTCTACATTCGAAATGTCCAGCTACCAATGTTTAGTGACTTATTTCAGTTTGGTTTTTACTGTTTGAAAGAAGCTAGTACATCATTGAAATTAAGTTTTTGAAGGAAGTCTTCCCTCAATTTTACTCAAAATATTCACCTGTATGAGTGTGGATTACATCACATTCAACCATATCTCAGTTAAATCAAGATGGGTCATCAAACTAGAGTGGGAAAAACTCAAAGTGAGTTTGTAGATGATTTTTACTTTGGTAAAACCATTAGCTGTGTACGTTGTGGACAGTCCAAGCATTGGGATTTGAACCGGGACAGCATTACAGAAAATTGTAACTGTTCATGTTCATTCAAGCCTCACTTGTCCAGTTTATAGTTGATTTTTTCGATGTTGATGGCACACAGGAGATAAAAAAAAACTGAGTTCAATAGCTTTTTTCACCTTATTAGCCGATTGTGTCTTGATACTGTAAATAAATATTTGGAATAAATACTTTAATATGCAAGCCTATGGGCACTGGCTACGTATGTTTTTACTCATATTTACAATATGGAAACACAAAGGTGATAACCTGTACTGAAGTCATTCCAAAACTGTTTATGACATAATTTCACCGTGAATGAGAAATGTGAGAACTGGCCCATTATCAAACAGTGCCAACTGAACATGATTTGAAACTTGTATGAAACAACAGTTGATGGTGTATTGAGCAAGCAGACAATGCATTGATGTTTGGAGCTTAAAAATAGGTCCTCATGGTGATCTCTTTACAGTATTTATTGGCTCAAGCGCCAGGTTTCTGGCATTGGTTCATTGTTCTGATAACACTCTACATTCTGTGGTAATGACCTGGCTCTCAATAGGCAATGACTTTCAAACATTGTAGTGTGGACCTATGTAAATACTGTGATTTATCTGAGGTCGACTAAATGCAGAATGATAAGTACAATGTTCTTCCCTCAACACCACTAACATGAAGGACATTTGTGAATGAACGAGAGAGTGAGTGAGTGACAAGGGAACTAGCAACAACAATACCGCCATCTTGACTGACTGACTGACTGAGTTTGGTTTTACGCCGCTTTTAGCAATATTCCAGCAACATCACGGCGGGGGACACCAGAAATGGGCTTCACACATTGTACCCATGTGGGGATTCGAACCCGGGTCTTCAGTGTGACGAGCCAACGCTTTAACCACTAGGCTACCCCACCGTCTCTGGGCTACCCCACCGTCATCTCTGGATTTGGACACAGATCATTGCAATATTTCAACTCCTTTGCTGAAAACATTAAACAGTAGAGTGTTCCCTCTTCTGACGATAAGTTTTCAAACATTGAAACAAATAAATATTTGTCAAAACAAAATTCAAAGAGTACTTAATTATAATTGCTCAAGACCATTGATGCAATTCCAAATAAATGCAATTAAGCCTGAAAACACATATTTTGTAAATGAAAGTTCAAATTAAATTGTATTTCTAAAAACTTGTGCACAAATGCATTGCGAGGGCAGATAAAAACGATTTTGTGGAAGCAGGTGATTATTTCATTCATGTTATACTTGTGTCCGTGAGGCTGTTTGTATTATGATGAAGGTGTCCCTATTTCTGAAAGTTCAATATTTACGTGGTCCATGATTCTCTATTATGGAAGAAAATATCAAGAACCAGAGGATTCTGTAAGTTTTAATACTGAATAGATGCCAGGGTGAAGACTATTGCAATCTCCAGACAGTTTTGTGCTGCTTTGTGTTACGTCTTTAAGTGACATTTAGAAGCTGGCATGATGAAGAGGAACACTTCTTAATAGATAGACAACTTCTTTACTCCATCTGGTACAATCATTATGTGTAATCACAACAAGCGTCGGTAATATCAACATACCGTACATCAACCTCTTCAATTGTATAAACTCAAATACCCTTTATGTATATATTCTCCTTGTGCATAATGCTGTGTACTGTGCGAAGAATGCATTAAGTCGGAAAGCGCATGTTACATCTCCAAATCATCATCATCAATGTTGTGTATCACTTGATAACAGTGTCAGGATCTACACTGAAATGTCGCATCTATTGCAATAGAGAAGCTGTCTTCCATAAAACGTGCTCCTCTGCATTGTGATGTATTAGTCTTACTGTCTGATGCATGCTGTCAATCTTTGCACACGACAGCTTGAGAGAAAACATGTTGTCTTGATCATCTGAATATGCCGTAAAGGCATTTAACAATTCTCTTGTTGCTGAAGAATAAGGCAACAGACATATCACAATATCAAATCACAAAAACAGAAGTGTTGAAGACAAAATTGTTTGCCCCAAGACAACATTACTTCAGTGAAAGGGACCTGTATTTAACTATCTTAATTTCATATATCTCTAAGCAACAACAACTACCTGCATTAATGTGATATGTTGATGGAACAAAAAACATCAAATATTACAAAATAAGGCCTATAACTCCACGATCCTGTTTAACTATGCCGACACATACATGAAGTGGAAGAGTGGGAACTAATGCGTCTACAACACCATTTCAACTTGTCATGGCTTGCCAGCGTGGGGACTGTACTGGCACACCAAGGGTCATACTGCCTGTGAATCGGGGATCTGCACCTACGATAATAGCTTCCTGACATACAACTCTGAACAGACAGGTATACCTCAATATGGGTGTGATGTGGTTTTTAATAATGGCTTTTAGTTGTAAATTAAATTAAATTAATTCAGTTAGAAGCCAATTTCCTATCTGGACCTCTGCATAAACATTAGATATAAAGATCTATGTATTACCTCCTGGAGAAACTCAACAATGCAATTTAATTCCAGATTGTTGCATTTGTGAAACAGCTGTAACTTTATTGTTTTTAACATAAGACACCTTTTTCCCAAACAACTTAAAATTATCATGTCTCAATACTCCTCAGTATTCCATTATCATCTGCCTTGTCCAATAATGAACAGAAAATGGGAGACTCAATCTGAAAAATACAAAAACACATGGGCACTGAAGGAAGTGATCTGATGCATCATGGCATTGGTCAAAATTGTATACAATAACATTCACTCATAGTCACTCACACTTATATATGAATATACTAATGGTCACTCACACTTGAATGTAAATATACAAATGGTCACTCACACTTGAATGTAAATATACTAATGGTCACTCACACTTGAATGTAAATATACTAATGGTCACTCACACTTGAACGTAAATATACTAATGGTCACTCGCACTTGAACGTAAATATACTAATGGTCACTCGCACTTGAATGTAAACATACTAATGGTCACTCACACTTGAATGTAAATATACTAATGGTCACTCACACTTATATATGCATATACTAATGGTCACTCGCACTTGAATGTAAACATACTAATGGTCACTCACACTTGAATGTAAATATACTAATGGTCACTCACACTTATATATGCATATACTAATGGTCACTCACACTTGAATGTAAATATACTAATGGTCACTCACACTTGAATGTAAACATACTAATGGTCACTCACACTTGAATGTAAATATACTAATGGTCACTCACACTTATATATGCATATACTAATGGTCACTCACACTTGAATGTAAATATATTCATGGTCACTCACACTTGTATATAACAACACTCATGGTCACTCACACTTGTATATAACAACATTCATGGTCACTCACACTTGTATATAACAACACTCATGGAAACCAGAATAAAAGGCATTAGATGTTTATCACTTTAGTGAAACATACAAGCAGGATCCAGACAAACCGAGAAACAATAATGGAACTATGAGCATGGGTTTCTGGCAAATGTAAGGGAGATAACTGTGCAAAGCAAACAGGCACCTCAGACAACAGGGCCACTCATGTCTCCCAACAGCCACACTGTTCACACATAAACACAAAACGGGAATTATCAGACAAGACCTTCACATGGTCTGCATGTCATGACCAATCTCACACTGCACACATACAAATACAGAGCTGTGACAAGCTAGAGAGTTATTGTTCCCGAAGAATGTGTGAGAAGCAGTGTAAACCTACCCCCAGGATGTATGAACATGTGGAGGGCTCCATGAGATAGATGCCCACCGAGTGGGGGTGGTTGGTGTTCACCACACATCTGAAACACAACACATACACTAACACACAGCTACCTTCTGATTGGTACTAAGGCCATGATTCATCCTAGAATAGTGTACTAGCCAATATCTCCACTTAAAATGGAATCTACTCCCTAAGCTGGAATGTCACATGCCTATAGTCCGTTTGGCTCAAAAGCGGACCGATGAATTGCAATCTAACTCGAAAACTAATAAACATAAAATACCGGTACTCAATGAAACGCTGATCATAATCAAAACATCATACCCACTCTGTGAGGTTTTTGCAGAATTTTTGTCCTAAAAATAAAAAAGTTGTTTAACAATCTATCATTAAAATATTGACACAGTTCACTATTTGTTACGAGGGGGGAGTGCAGAGAAAGGGACAGCCAGGTGTTCGAGAACAGATGGAGATGGCACAGCACAGGTTAATGAATAAATAACTTTGTCTGTGAACGTGCTTCTCGAACACCTGGCTGTCCCTTTCTCTGCACTCCTCCCTCGTAACAAACAGTGAACTGTGTCAATATTTTAATGATAGTTTGTTAAACAACTTTTTTAAGGGACTATTAGTGATATGTAAGGGGTATGTAGCATGACAGTGACAAGGGGCATGCATCACCTAATTTCACTGGTGCCATATTGTTGCACAGCTTCAAAAGCATCTGTCTATGATAGATAGGAATTTCATTGACTTCTTTGACTGGCATTCTAGAAGTTGGGTAGATGGATAGATACAACTTCTTTATTCTGTATAGGCGACGTTTCGACATAGATTCTAATGTCTTGACACTTGCTTGCCAATGACATTAGAATCTATGTCTAGGCCTATACAGAATAAAGAAGTTGTATATCCATAAAAATAGTCGTCATTCTTCAGGAATGTCAATGTTTAACTAGAGAAAAACAACAATGGATACTCTGAACTTTACATGTACATCTTTCCTGAAGACGACATCTACACGATGTACACAGATAGTTCTTACACAGTAGCATCACTTCATTGTAAGATTGCTGCATAATATCACTGTATCATGACATCTATACAGTGTCACTACATTTTAGAAACTCAGGGAAACAAATGTGTTTTATCCCAAAACTAGACATCTTAAAACTGGGTTCAGGAACCTAAATATTGACAAACGACTGATTATCAAATATATTCATCAACACAACTGTCACATGTGCCAATAAAGTGAATACTTGAATAGACAGAACAAAGGGGTGATTGATATTATGAACAATTGGAGGGCTCTGGTCTGAGAACTGACCTCAGCTAGCATGTACTGCCCCTACTGACTAGTGGCCATGTTTTCAATAGTACTCACTTCAATTTGACTTCTACTGTCCTTGGTTTGCCTGTAATATCACATATATCTCCATCACTGTAGAACAGGGATATAAATCTGAAAAACATACAATGTGATATCAGGCATTATCTCTATCACTGCAGAACTGGAACATCTGGAAGAGAGACAACAGTGATATAACCCATATCTCTGTACAAGACGGAAATAAGTCTGAAACAGTGAACAAAGATATCACATACTCTCCACTACACAGTGTCGTAATGACACTAAGTGGCATAATGAAAATTGTAAAAATAGTAAAATACTGTTTCTAATCTGCAGACAAATCAATAATTTCAGCTGTAAAACCTCCGAATAATCTGACTATGCTATTAAAGCACACATCCAAAGCAGCTTAGAGACAACTGGATCTACTTACTTTCTCTTTCCTATTTCTCGTGGTCTTTTTTGAGTATTTTGCTGCAACCACTGTAAATGGGCTGCTTCCTTCCAGACACCTAAATTGATAACCGTTCTTCCCTGGGAATCCTGCATCAAAACACACAGGTATTAGAAATGATTTACTTAAACAACACAATGAGAACGTGATGACTTTCACATTTTGGGGGAAATCTCTACTGTGAACAATCTCTCACATTCCTGTTATTTCAGAAGTATTACAATCATCAAAAATACTTGAATAGTTCTTGTACTTACATCATGAAATTGTCTTGCATATATGCCATAACAAAACTCGTATTTCCACCATCCCTGTCCCTAGAACAAAAGTGTCAGTAATTAAATAATGACAACAAATATATACATTTGAACAATAACAGAGAGAGTGTCAAAGAAACATTCATTTTAGGCGTATAAACAAGTACTCAAAGATTTCAGGTTTATAAATGTGTTCTTCAAGATTTCAGGTTGTTATATATTTTCTCCAAGAATATTTATACTCACAATGGGTTCTTCAAGATTTTACACTTTTAGATGAGTTCCTCAAGATTATTAGGTATATCAGTGGGATGTTCAAGATTTCAGGGTTAAAACTGGGTTCTTCAAGATGTCATAACTTAATGATACTGTCATCATGACTGTTACATTTGTAGTTTACAAGACTTTAAAGTAGTACGGTTCTGGAGATAATGAGAATGTCATAATTCTACCACCTACATGCAATTCTACTTGCTACAGTATTCTTTACTTGCGTCAGTAACCCAGCTGTGGAGACAAACGTAACCACCCACTGAGATGATCTGATGTCACTGCCTTCTAACCATATGCTATCGACATACACTATTCTGGGGTAAATCAACCATCTATAACCCTAGGGAAACACCAAAACTTGACAACATGTAGGTGGTAGTCACTACCTGACTCTATTCAAGTGCCATTCCCCAAGTCATGACTGCCAAGGTATCCTCAAGACAATGGTTATCACCTTGCTCAAAGTAGACTTACCCCTTTAAGACAATAGTCTCCATTTGATAACATCCAAGGATGACCTTCCCCTTTAAGACAATAGTCTCCATTTGATAACCTCCAAGGTAAACCTACCCCTTTAAGACAGTAGTCTCGATTTGATAACCTCCAAGGATGACCTTCCCCTTTAAGACAATAGTCTCCATTTGATAACCTCCAAGGTAAACCTACCCCTTTAAGACAGTAGTCTCGATTTGATAACCTCCAAGGTAAACCTACCCCTTTAAGACAGTAGTCTCCATTTGATAACCTCCAAGGATGACCTTCCCCTTTAAGACAATAGTCTCCATTTGATAACCTCCAAGGTAAACCTACCCCTTTAAGACAGTAGTCTCGATTTGATAACCTCCAAGGATGACCTTCCCCTTTAAGACAATAGTCTCCATTTGATAACCTCCAAGGTAAACCTACCCCTTTAAGACAGTAGTCTCGATTTGATAACCTCCAAGGTAAACCTACCCCTTTAAGACAGTAGTCTCCATTTGATAACCTCCAAGGATGACCTTCCCCTTTAAGACAATAGTCTCCATTTGATAACCTCCAAGGTAAACCTACCCCTTTAAGACAGTAGTCTCGATTTGATAACCTCCAAGGATGACCTTCCCCTTTAAGACAATAGTCTCCATTTGATAACATCCAAGGATGACCTTCCCCTTTAAGACAGTAGTCTCCATTTGATAACATCCAAGGTAGACCTACCCCTTTAAGACAATAGTCTCCATTTGATAACATCCAAGGATGACCTTGTCTCCATTTGATAACCTCCAAGGTAAACCTACCCCTTTAAGACAGTAGTCTCCATTTGATAACATCCAAGGATGACCTTGTCTCCATTTGATAACCTCCAAGGTAAACCTACCCCTTTAAGACAGTAGTCTCCATTTGATAACCTCCAAGGATGACCTTGTCTCCATTTGATAACCTCCAAGGTAAACCTACCCCTTTAAGACAGTAGTCTCCATTTGATAACCTCCAAGGATGACCTTGTCTCCATTTGATAACCTCCAAGGTAAACCTACCCCTTTAAGACAGTAGTCTCCATTTGATAACCTCCAAGGATGACCTTGTCTCCATTTGATAACCTCCAAGGTAAACCTACCCCTTTAAGACAGTAGTCTCCATTTGATAACCTCCAAGGATGACCTTGTCTCCATTTGATAACCTCCAAGGTAAACCTACCTCTTTAAGACAGTAGTCTCCATTTGATAACCTCCAAGGATGACCTTGTCTCCATTTGATAACCTCCAAGGTAGACCTACCCCTTTAAGACAATATTCTCCAGTCAGGAACTCTCGCAGAAGCTGTTTGTCGGTGGTGGAGCCCAGGTTGTGCTGCTCTACATACTGTGGGGGTACCTTGGTGGCGACGTTGTCCGGCACTGCCTGTGGAGTTGGCTGAGGAGTGGGCTCCTGTCAAAACAGCATTCATTCAGCTCACACATTTGGCTTGGTTTTTTTTCTATTTATCGCGATAATCAGCAATTTCACAAACACAACTGGACTGACAAATTTATTCAATGAACAGATTGACCACAGCTGCTTACTGGAGAGGGTGTCCTGGTGTGGACTACAGTTTTCTCCATTCTCTTTAACTGTGTTGGCTTGGCAGGGGATCCATCAAGGGCATGGCACTGTATTTCCCCAACAGGCGCATTCTTGGGTCTGAAAATATGCAATCACATAAACACCAGTCAGATTAGAAATACAGTTGCACCATACAAGGGGTCAAGTCACCTGATGATACACACAAACAAGGAGGGGAACAGGTGGCCAAGTGGTCTCGTACCAGTTACTACTCTCTGACCTGCCAAGCTCAGCTGGTCATTGGTTCAAGTCGCAGCTCTGCCCTGATCCTACTCTAGGTCAGACACCACCATACTTCTGCCCTGATCCTACTCTAGGTTGGACACCACCATACCTCTGCCCTGATCCTACTCTAGGTCGGACACCACCATACCTCTGCCCTGATCCTACTCTAGGTTGGACACCACCATACCTCTACCCTGATCCTACTCTAGGTTGGACACCACCATACCTCTGCCCTGATCCTACTCTAGGTTGGACACCACCATACCTCTGCCCTAATCCTACTCTAGGTTGGACACCACCATACCTCTACCCTGATCCTACTCTAGGTTGGACACCACCATACCTCTGCCCTGATCCTTCTCTAGGTTGGACACCACCATACCTCTGCCCTGATCCTACTCTAGGTTGGACACCACCATACCTCTGCCCTGATCCTACTCTAGGCTGGACACCACCATACCTCTGCCCTGATCCTACTCTAGGTTGGACACTATCATACCTATGTTCATTAAGTACAAAAACAGTGGTACATATCTACAACTTACATCACCTTATGCTTTCATCCCACACCACTTCAAAAATATGCAAAAAGGCACAAGGCAAGGAGAAGAATATTACCATCTGTAAATGAATGGACTATCTGTATTCTGTGGGGCACCTGTGACACTCTTAATGCTGACCAAACATACTGCAATCTGACTATAAGTATAGTGAAGTGATTACCCAGCCAAGTGATCCCTACCTGAAGTCTGGGTGTCCACACAGGACGGATGTCAACACCATCATCTCATATTCACATGTTGACGTCTCCTTGAACTCGTAGATTTCCCCGTGGCCGTCTGGTTGACACACATACAAGATGCGTGTCCTCCGAGGCTCTTGTGTCAGATCACAAGCCGTTCCATCCGTCATGTTTACTTCATAATAGGGGAGAGAAATACCTTCTACTTTCCGGATTTTTATCTGGAAACAATTACTATTACACATACACATATTGTTAGCAGACTGTTATATGGGAATAGTTTACTACAAGCTCTAAAAATATCTGAAAACTTTCCTATAATTTTCTGTGATTTGAAATTTGGTCTGTGCTAGTCACAAGTCCAATGAACATGTAAACCTGAGTGAAATGTTTATGGTGAACTTACAATGCGATGATTCTACCATGACAAACTTCACTGAATAATCTGGAACTCACACATTAATCTTTAAGACTTTATTTTCTACAATTTGATCTTAATTATGAAAGAAAAAACCCATGAATTAGCTCCCGTCGATTGTGAAGCAACTTGTGGAAGCTATGTGCAAAAACTACCTGTTAATCACTGTGTCAATCTTGTGAAATAACAGAAGCTATAAAAACATACTACAACATATATATTCAGCGACATGTGTTACTGTCTCCAGTAATCACCAATAACGTCTGTCAGCAGCCCGTGGTGTAAGCATGATTATGGGACATCACTTTTACATTACTTCAGATTGGAATGAAATTACAGCCAACTGAGCCATTGGAGTGGTCTGTGCCTTTGTCTTTGCTTATTTTGAAATAATGTTTCCTCTTTAACCACATACTGAAGGCCATCTGAGGGATGTGTAATTAATACCCAGGAGAAAACATGTTCACCACTTTGATTTCATAACCTCATATTGAAAACCTGTTTACAGGACAACCTTGCTAATCTGGACACTGTCCATCCATTCCTAATGGATAATTTCACCCTGCTTGTAGCTACTGAACAAGAACACTTCATGACATTCTGATACTCACATTTGATGATTCTGAAACATGAGAAACAGACAATGATTTATATTTGTTTTCAAAACACACAGATTTTATTCATTTTTTCTACACTTTCGTGCTTTCTTGGACATATTTGTTTCAGGGTCTGTATGACAGACTAAAATCATTGTAGTACTTCAATTACTGTTTGCTGCTGGGCCTTGGACCCAATACCTTCTTCAACCATGCACCAGCTACTGTGTGCCTGCTACTGGGCCTTTTACCCAGTACATTATTCAACCACTCAGGGGTTCAAAAATCCCATTGCCCGACGCCCGGGACAAGTCAGTTTTCATTTCGGGCAATCAAATAATGGTATCTTATTTGTCCGTGGGCTACTAGATAATTTCCACTTATGGTTTCAAACTGCAAATAAACTTGGATTTAATTTCATATCTGCTCAAAATGTAGCTTTCAAACTTCGCAATGATGATAAAGTAGAGTTATCTTTCTTTGCTATTTATCACTTTTCAATAAATAGTCCAGTAAACATTAACATCAAATACCATGTTGATTTATTCTTTCATAATTACATCAACATGATTATGTCATAAAATCAGGGCAAGTGGAAAATTTGTCAGGACAAGTTACTTTCTTAAAGTCACTTGCACGGTGGCAAGTGGCTTTTTAAAATAATTTTGAACTCCTGCCACTCATAGTTACTGTGTGCTGCTGGGCCTTGGACCCAAATACAGTAATCAACCACTCACCTGAATCTTCATTTTTGTCTTGTTTTCCATAACCAAGAAAGTATTCTTGAACCTTTGGTTTCTGAAACATTGTTGACCAAAATGTAATTTTTCAAGTAAAATTGATATTTTTATACTTATCCTGACTCATGATCTTTTGCTTATCTTCCTTTCCTTTTCGAATGGTAGTGGAACACTTGAATCCCTTGAAGTTCCCGAAGCGGACATAAGAGTTACCTCCCTTTTGCCCTTATCCCGCGCAAACAGTCATGTGACCAGCCTTACTTGTCACTCTCTCCTGATTTTCTGCCCATGCACTTGGATCTGCTGTGAAATCCAAAGTGTCTTCAGCGGGGAGGTTGGGAGGGCTTCTCGTCATGAGTCAGGATAAGTATAAAAATATCAATTTTACTTGAAAATTACATTTTTTTTCTTATCCTGACTCATGATCTTTTGCTTATATAATCCGACGGATTGGTGGTGGGTCAAGCCACTTCGTGGATTCATCAGCTGTCCTTAGATACGTCCTGTATCCCCCCCATGGGAACTGCGAAACGGCATTTCCGTGATCCTATTCTTCCAACTTCCGTTATAACTCGGGGAGACCACTTTCTTGTCTTACTGCAGTCTCAGACAAGTTGAATCATGTTGATTCATGTGGCTACAGATAAACTAGTATCTTCTTATTACTAGATATCTTATAACAACCCATAGATTATGATAAGATCTTTATCATAAATGAGTTGCGATCCCTTCATGTGCAGGTAAGATCTTTACCCGTACAGGATCTTTAATCACTCATGCTAGCCTATACTAGACTGTGCGCATGGACTTTCAAACTAATACTTTTCCTAGTAAAAGTCATCTACAAGTCAGCGTGATAAAGGGTGAGATTTCCAACTCAGTGCCTTTGAGGAACCGTTAGTAGCTGTGCTACAACGAGAGGCCCAAATTGGTGAATGCCTGAGTTGTCTTCAGTGGCTATGTCTCGGAGGTAGTGGTTGGCAAACACCGTGTCCGACTTCCAAAAGCAGCCCTCCATAATTGCTGGTATAGAGCAATTTCTGTGCAGAGCCAGTGTTGACGCCAGTGCTCTGACTTCGTGTGGGTTGGAAGCTCTAGGAGGTTCTAGTCCTGCTGCTTTATAGGCTCTCAATATGACGGCTCTCATCCAGAACGATATCGTCGTTCTTGAGACTTCTGCTGATGTCTCTGTTGATAATGGGATGAACAGGTGCTTGAATTTTCGTCTCCTTGTCTCAGTCTTTTGAAGATATATCTTTAGGGCTCTGACTGGACACAAGGATAGGTCTTCTATATCCTCTGGGCCGAGAATTGCAGATAGCGCTTTTACGTTGAACTGTCTATCTGGCTGACCAGGTAGTTGGTTCTTGGCAATGAAGTCCCATCTAAGTCCTAGATGAACTGCAGCATGTTGCCCCTTGTTGAATCTGGTTTGACCAAAGTCCAGGGCATGTATCTCTGACATTCGAGCTGCCGTGGCTAGAGCAGGCAGGAACAGAGTCTTCTGTGTCAGCAGGTCGAAGGTAGTCTGGTCTAGAGGTTCGTAGGCATCACTCATAAGATGACGAAGAATTACATTCAGATCCCAGGCCGGAGCTCTGAACTTCTTTTGCTGGTCCTCCACTTTAAAAGATCTCAGCAGAGCAAGTAATTCTGGTACTTTCGTCAACTTGATGCCTGTTTTCAAAGTAATCACTGTACTGATGGCGGAGAGGTATGTAGATAATGTCGAACCTTCCAGATGTCTGGTCTGTCTAAGATGACACAGGTATTCCGCCACTTGAGGATGAGTAGCTTTCATCGCAGTGAAGCCTTTCCGCCTTGCATAAGTCTCAAACTTCAGCCACTTGTCATCATACAGGTTACAAGTAGATCTGCGTAGCGCTAGCGTTACTACCTTGGCTGACAACTTAAAAAGATTCATAACTTGGGCAAACTGGCTGTCCTATTGAGTGTTAATCAGTCAAGTTTGGCTGTCGACTAACTCAAATATTATGATGTATCTTAATCTAACAGGTAAGGATTCCCAAGTCACAAAGACCAAATATGGTCAACAGATCATGTAGCATCATGTTGAAATTGTTCAAACCTATATAATGGTAAATTTGTGTGGTAAATAAGGCTGCACAAATCATTGTAGACTAACAGTATCCTCTTTTCTTCAAACATGTTTTGATACGGTCCACACGTGTAGCTGGAACGCTGTCTGGTTCCCGTGGACTTGCTTGGTGTGCGGATGTATGAGTAGGTACGGCCAATCTGGGAACTTGATTGTTGGACTTCCGACATCTTCTATTAGGTCTAGGAACCATACTCTCGCTGGCTAGTATGGCGCGACCAAAGTCAGCTGTAGCGCCTGTGTCTGTTTGATCTTCAACAGTACTTCCGGTAGTAATATCAGGGGTGGAAACGCGTGAGCGTTTACCCGGTAGCGCTAGCGTTACTACCTTGGCTGACAACTTAAAAAGATTCATAACTTGGGCAAACTGGCTGTCCTATTGAGTGTTAATCAGTCAAGTTTGGCTGTCGACTAACTCAAATATTATGATGTATCTTAATCTAACAGGTAAGGATTCCCAAGTCACAAAGACCAAATATGGTCAACAGATCATGTAGCATCATGTTGAAATTGTTCAAACCTATATAATGGTAAATTTGTGTGGTAAATAAGGCTGCACAAATCATTGTAGACTAACAGTATCCTCTTTTCTTCAAACATGTTTTGATACGGTCCACACGTGTAGCTGGAACGCTGTCTGGTTCCCGTGGACTTGCTTGGTGTGCGGATGTATGAGTAGGTACGGCCAATCTGGGAACTTGATTGTTGGACTTCCGACATCTTCTATTAGGTCTAGGAACCATACTCTCGCTGGCTAGTATGGCGCGACCAAAGTCAGCTGTAGCGCCTGTGTCTGTTTGATCTTCAACAGTACTTCCGGTAGTAATATCAGGGGTGGAAACGCGTAAGCGTCTACCCGGTAGTCCTTCCCAAGATATGCTCAGTGCATCTGTTGCCCAGGCTTGAGGATCTGGAACTGGTGAGACAAAAGTCTGTAGTTGTTTGTTGAACCTCGTGGCAAACAGGTCTATGCAAGGGGATCCTATTTCCCGTATGATGGCCGGAACGCTTCTGGACGGAGCATCCATTCCGTAGGTGACGGGTGCAGTGGTCGGGATAGAGCGTCTGCAAGTACGTTCTTGGCTCTGGGTATGTGACACGCCTATATCCAGATGTTTGCTTCCTCCGTGATGTGGAACAACTGGAATGTGAGCTGTAGCAGGCTTGGAGACCTTGTGGATCCTTGCTGATTTATGGAGAATGCCACTGTAGAGTTGTCCGTGTGGACCATCAGTATTTTGTTGTTCAGCGAGCTCGACCATAGTTGTAAGGCGTTGATCACGGCTTTTATCACCAGCAGATTGATGTGAAGATGCTCCTCTATTTTGGACCATCTTCCTGATGCAACTTGATTGTTGAGATGCACACCCCAGCCTTGTATCGAAGCGTCTACGTAGTAGAGATGTGAGTCGGCTCTTGTAAACAGGTCCCTCCACAAACGTTCGACCTGTGCGTCCACCATAGTAGATACCTTTTGAGGTTGTCTGGCAGCAAGATAGGGTCGACGCTGTCTAGATGTTTTGTCTGGAACCGTTGCAGCGGTCTTAGTTGTAACCTTCCTGTGCGAGTCAAGTCCTGCACCGAGGTTAGTAGACCAAGTAGAACTTGCCATGATCGTAGTGTTAACGGAGAGATGACTGCTGGTGGAATCATGGCTTGTATCTTGACCCAACGATCTTCTGGGACGACAATACGATTCTGTGTTGTGAAAAAACCTTATCCCCAGAAATTGCAGATCTTGTTTTGGTTCCAACTCTGACTTCATAAGGTTCACCAGCCATCCTAGTTGAGTGAGCAACTTGATCGTGAAGTTCAGCTGTAGTCTGAGTTGACTGGCATCTTGGTGAACCTGAATTCCGTCGTCCAAGTAGAAGGCATTGCGTAGACCTCGATGATGTAGACATGCGACTATAGGCTTGGTTATTCGTGTGAATAGCCACGGAGCTGAAGATATTCCAAACGGTAGGACGTTCCATTGGAAGTGCTGCCCTCTGGATAGGAATCGTAGATACTTTCTTGATTCTGGATGTATGGGGATGTGTAGATACGCATCCTGTAGGTCTATGCTGGCCATGTAATCTGCTGGACGGACGAGTAGTCTGAGTTGAGGTAGGTGGATCATTCTGAACCTCTCTGGTTTCAGTAGATAGTCTTTATTGAATTTGCGCATGTTGTAAATCAGTCTGAACTTCTCCTTGGAGTTCTTCTTGGGTACTATAAAAACTGGGGGGTAGAAGCCAGGAGTGAGATGATGCTGATCTATTATCTCTACCGCCTCCTTCATAAGTAGTGAGTCGATGGCTTCTTGTAGTCTGTCTGCCTGTTCCTCTGCATAGTCGAAGACCATCGGGCTTAGGGTTAGCGGAGGTATGGCCTTGAGTTGTACTCTGTATCCTTCTCTTAGTACTTGGGAGACGTAGTCGTCCTCTAGTATTCCCCAATTTTTCCAGTACCTTTGTAGACGTCCACCCACTGTCAATGGTTTTACAGGAACGGCTGGGGGTGGAAGACTCCAGCCGTTCCGAACCTTGATATCAACATCTAGTTCCTCTGGATCCTCTGGGAGTGCGGCCTCTCCCTGAGTTTCCTCTGTAATTTCTGTATGGGCAACGAAAAGATCCTTTGCCGCCTCTGAAGCTGGAGTACTTCTTCTCCTTTGCCTTCTGTATGCTGGAATATTTGGACTTGCTGTTATACCTTTGCAAAGTATGTCGGATGACATTGGCCTAAGTATCTATGGATTTTATCATCATAACTTCTCTAGAGTCGTGCATAGCTTCCTTAGCTGCATCGTCTATTTGTCCTCCAAAGATAGTAGGCGCTTCCCATGGAGCTCTTAGTAGCGGTTGGGTGAATCTATCACTCCAAGAACAGGATGCAAATAGCCCTTGTCTGCGTAGTAAAGTGAGACCTGCAGATATAGATGCCAGATGGTCCGATAAAAAGTACTGGTCCTTCTTCTGTGTTATGAGGGCCGAATATATCATTCTATCCTCTTCCGAACTTGCATTCTGGAATTTATTGATCAATGCTTCATTGATGGCTCTGGACCTGGCCAACCCAAAGAAGGACCTCCTTGTAGCAGTATCCAGTTGAGATAAATATTTATCTTCCACTTTATACATCTTGTTTCGGGAGTTGTTGACTAGTTTATGTTGTCATCCCATTCAGGCGCCTTTGTAAATGGATCCATATGATGTAAGGGGAATCTCTTCACATTAAATGATGCGAGATGCTGACTCTGGTACTTGGATGCTTTCGCGAAAGCTGTGCGTAGGTTAGAGGGTACCTTGGATATAGGTTCAATCGGCGGGATAGTGATGGACTCGTTACGCATCATATAAGTGTAGATTTCATCTTTATCCTTAGAAGGAGACTCCAAGTTCAACCCATTGGCAATCCACGCTGTAACCTCTGAGTCTGGAAAGACGAAGTCTGCTTGCTGATCCAGAGTCTCCTGATTATTAGAGCTAGGCCTCTGCGACTCATCCATCTGCAAACCTGTATCCCTTTTCGAACCTTCATCATCCTTTCGCGAACCTCTATCTGAAGATTCCTCCTTATGCGAACGTCTATCTTGAGAGTGCTCTCTTCGCGAACCTCTATCTGTAGATTCATCTCTTCGCGAACCTCTGTGATGTGAGCTATCTCTTTGTGAACATCTGTTGCTAGATGTATCCCTTCGCGAACTTCTGTGATGTGAGCCTTCTCTCCGCGAACCTCTGTCTCGTGATGAGTGACTTCGCGAACGTCTGTGAGAGATATGAGATCTCGATCTAGAGCGGGCTAGGTGTAGGAGATGGGTCCTTCAATGTTCTCGAACATTGAGGGTTCGCGGATGTAGAGCTGTGAGCAGGCATCTCATCTCTTCTATCCTCCTATAAGATGACAGAGTTGTCCGATTGTGGAGACCTTCACAAAGGTGTACGTTCGCCAATGTAGTCTTGTGATGTAGTTCTATGAGGAGTAGGTTCGTGCAGGTCCGTAGGTCCGTAGGTCCGTATGTTGGCGCACGGTGTCGGTAGATGAAAGGCTTCGACGAGCCTTCGCTTCTTCCTCGAACCTACGTTCCATCATTGCCATCATCTGGTTGGTGAATTGTCTCATAAATTTGCCCGGGTCGAAGTTCTGTGTTGGTTGCAGCTGCTGCGGTGTAGATGAAGCGTTCGCGAACGCTGATGAGTTCTGCGCCTCAACTTCACTCCGTTGAGAAGTAGGTGGTAGTTCGTCAAACAGCTGGCCTGCTGTGACCGTTGCAGGGGACGATCTAGTAGTTGTAGAAGTCGATTGAGTCGCTGATCTCGTAGGTACTTCGGGTAGAAGGAACGGGGGGTCATCAAAAACGTCTACTTCATGTGGAGGTAATATCTCTTCGTTGAAGGATTTCTGCAGTGTTGACATACTAGCACGCATAGATTTACCCTCCGATCTGGTAACAGATGCTTTCTTCTGTGGTGTAGAAAAAGATGACGTATATTTCTTAGCATGAGTCGGAGTCAACTGCGTTGTAGCCGATCTCTTCTTGGCCCCCGTACCAGCAGACTGCCCCTGCCACGTACTAAACATAGCACCAGTATTATGAACTTCAGCAGTACCGTAGCAAGCAACATACGGTTTGTAGGCTGATCTCCTGTTTTATCAGCCGTGACGTGAGATGACTTCCTCACCCGATCCATGGCACATCTATAGATATAAGACAAATATTGATTAAATTGAAGATTTGATAAATCAACACAATAAGTACAGCGCAAGCTGGAAGAACATGGTTTTGTGCACGAAGGGCACTGGGGGTGAGGATCAGCCACAGATAACCTGTGCCTGCAAACACTGCGAGATTTCATGAAATGAAACAAGGTTACATTACGATGAATTTATGACATAAATACAAATACTTTTTACAAATAATACATAGTAGTTATTGCCAAATCCATATACAGCATAATTTTGAAGAATAGGACCTAAATAAAAAGGATATAAAGCCGTATAAGGGACTCCAGTGCTCGCCCAACAATCCGCTTGGTCGAAAAGGGAGAGAGTGACAAGTAAGGCTGGTCACATGACTGTTTGCGCGGGAAAAGGGCAAAAGGGAGGTAACTCGTGGGTGAGTGTATTTATACGTCCGCTTCGGGAACTTCAAGGGATTCAAGTGTTCCACTACCATTCGAAAAGAAAAGGGAGATAAGCGAAAGATCATGAGTCAGGATAAGAAAAAATTATTTCTTATCTACAGGAAATCAAGTTTCTTAAATCTCTCTCACATACACCACTGGATCATTTTTCTCACTAATAGCAATTTGAACATCATCTTGGAGATATCTCTTATAGGTCATATGTCCACATGTGATTGGACAAAGCCAGCGTGTCTTGTAAACATGTTGTATTACCCCCATCTTATTCTAGCTACATGATGTTACTGAAGCATCATGTATGTCAACAAGGATGAACTAGTCCTTAGGTAATTAAGTAAAGTGCATGGAAACCTTTAAGTTGGACTAAGCTCACCATATGTTCTAAGAGTTATCATAGTTTCTGTTTGCATATATTCATGTAGCTAACATGTGAAAGTGGAGAGAAGGATAGAGGAAGGGAGGGGGAAAGGAGGAGGGGGTTGATGGTGATTTGTAATGGGGGATCACGTATCATAATCGAGCTAGATTATACTTCAAGTCAGATTCCAATGACACTCTGCTATTCTTATCGGAACTAGCCTCCAACCCCCAACCACATCACCACCGATCTTCTTCCATGGCTACTTAACCACGTTACCATTTACAGTATATTCCTCGTTTACAATCAACCATCCTCGATAATCTCCAGGGTATACGTTACGATCACTCTCCACTATACCTTGGATGCAGTCGCAGTTGCAAAGGTTTGTTTGCAGTGCCACTCAGATTTTGGGGGAAATAATAAAGACAAATTCACAGATCTGAAACTTTAAAAAGAATATATAAAAGACTGACTGACTGAGTTTGGTTTTACCCCGCTTTTAGCAATATTCCAGCAATATCACGGCGGGGGACACCAGAAATGGGCTTCACTCATTGTACCCATGTGGGGATTCGAACCCGGGTCTTCGACGCGACGAGTCAACGCTTTAACCACTAGACTACCCCACCGCCCCCATATATAAAAGAACTCCTTCTACTTCTTTCAGAGTACCTCTGCATCAATTGTGTTGCCAAGTTTAAACGGTTAGATAATTTAAGACGTGAAAGTGAGTAGTGATTGGTACGCTCAACTTCCCAGCGTAGGCACCTGACTGGATAAAAAGCCAGCAAAGGGAGGTAATAAAATCATCGCCCCCAAGCCGTGGATGCATCCAGGGTATAGTGGAGAGTGATCGTAACGCATACCCTGGAGATTATCGAGGATGACATTCAACATGCTGTACTTCTCATTCCTATTTAGTCTCAGTTTTCACATTTGCAGTTGCATGTATATATAGTTTCCTGTGCCAATGTTTTCTTGTGTTCTATACCACCATGCAATGCTTGTCATGGTTTCTCATTGAGTTTGGCTTGTGACTGGGCAGGGGTACACCTTAAGGTAAAGGTCATAAGCTACACTGTTATCTGTAGATAGTTCATACCCGTTGGGGTATTGGTTGTCAGCTACATTGTGATCTGTAGCTTCTGACTTTCCAGTTGACTGAAGGCATAACAACAATTATTGAGAAGCACACCCTCAGCTATCGCGTATCACACTCTTAGCTTGCTTACCAGTTGGAGTAAGTTTATCTACTCTACACAACACATTCAGAAATACAAAACAATCAACTAACCTGCCCAACGTCTTTTGTTTCATGATATTGCCGCAGGTGTTTGCCATGGCACAGTTCGTATGTCCAGTAACTCTCAATCTGGAAACAAACAATAATGACTAGCAACTACTGAAAACTGGTGAGGAAAGTGTTGTGGAAGTGTGTAAGTACCATGACCTCATAATGTTTAAGTAATGTTACATCTGATTTTTCACATTTTGAGCAATATCAAGTACCGATGCTGAAAGTTTGGTACCAGCAAGGATCATACAATTATAGTCTGACACATTTCCATGTCTTTTCAGGTTATGCTGCTATTTTTCTATGATATCCTATCAAAGTGAGAAACTTAACTCATTTGCACGCACGTATGCGCGCACGCACGCACGCACGCACGCTTATATTTACGCACGCACACACACACGCACACACGTATAGCGCCGATATCCAGTCGCAACATAACCCACCACTAACATATGAACTCAACAAAAAGGACTGACATGAAAATAGCATTTTTCCATGACTTTATAAATCTTTTCTATTTTCCAAAACTATTCTCATCGTGGGAAACTGAGACCAATAAAGTTGTTTGATCATGTGATACTCATACCAAGGCTGTCTCCTTTTAAAGTGACATGTTTGTTTGAGAACATATTTTACCATTTCATATTTTTACTTCTGACCAAATCTCACCCTGTATGAACATGTGGTTTGAGTAAAAAGAATGTTCATCAGTTCATCTGCTGTCTGCCCTCCATAGTCTGCTTTGGAGCTCTGCAGAGAGAAGGAGCGAACATTGATGATCAGTTATTGTGACCTACACAGAAGTACACCCCACATCAGATGTAATTATTTAGGAGTCACTTGTTGATAAGAGATAAAACAACATTGTCAACTTCCAGGAGAGCAGTGCAGGTGCATTTTGAATGTTCCATTGACCGTTACTTGTCATGTATTAAACAACTGCAGATATCTACATAGGTACTGCCTGTAGTCTAATGCAATCTATCCCTCTTAAAAAGGCAAAAGTAAATCAGTTTATTTGCAGCAAATGTGTATCAGGTTCTTGTCCTGATAGTTCCCATGACTCACAAATACATAAACCTAGGTAATTCACCACTGTTATCAAGATTTCAATCATTCCCCAGAGCCAACCCAAATCGAAGGTTACCCACATCTCTCTTGTCATGTGACTCCGGCAGGATGCACTGATACCTCTCCTTGTTCGTGGTCATCACAACCACCCGGCTTTCATCAACTGTCTAAACACAAAACAAATGGAACTTGTATTATAAATATCTATATACTATTGTAGAAATAACTCACTCTTTCATGTGTTTTGATGTTTAGCAATAAGCATGATCACGAAAATATTATACTGGAGTACTTTGTTTTCACTTTCAAATTGTTGAATTTTTCTGTCTGGATCAAACATGTTTGCATTATGTGAGTAGACCTGCACCTGACGGTTAACATTGCGCCCTCATGTGAAACTTGATAGCACTTTGGACATTACAGAATTCATAATATAGTTAAATCTAACAACCTAATTCTCTCACAACTAATCCTTTCTCTTACAACTAATCTTAAGGATGGAAAGGAAATACACAGTCCTATAGAAATTAAAGGGTTGTTTGATAGTCTATCTGTGGACAGCCGTCACATGATGAAGACAAGTTTCATCAGAAATGGGATCCAAGGGCTAAGGACAGATGGATAGAAGTACATGAAGTATACTAATTGAGAACAACATCATCTTCAGTCATTGTTCCCTGCAATGTGAATTGCTCAACATCGAAACAACCAGAGATATACCTGGCCTCAAGTCAATTATTTAATTGCCACAATAATAGAGATGGAATATGTAGCCATGTGGCATAAAATAACATTTACAGACACTGGTTAGGGCAAAGGTTATATAAGTCCCGCAACACATCCTGCTGAGTTGCTGAAATAGGTAGGCAATTAGTAACAGCTTTGAATCACTTTGATGACAACTCGGTTTCTTGCCATCAAATTATTCAGAAAATGATGATCAGAGAAAACACCAATTTCCACTGGACAACTGGAGAAATATGTGCAGTGCACCTATCCCCTAAGATATCTACATTGTAAATAACCAGCTGGGCACCATGGCTGCTCTGTAGACCAAGTCCAATCTATAGCAGATTGGAATTCAGGTGAAATGTTTTTAATGCTAATTTGAGATATCCCCTACAGGCTTTGCATCAATGGTTTACATGTAGCATATATATATAATATAAGATAATCTGCACAAGTCTGAAAGCGAAGTGAAACCATAAAACGAGAAAGAAGGGCATGAGCATATTCAATATTTAACCATTATTACCTTTTCTATATCAATTTCCGATGAGCCTGGCCAGATAATCTTGAACAACTCGGCATCCATGAACGGGTCAAAATCACCTCCGACAGTGGTCGATATCGAAAAAAGAAACACAAAGGCATAGCGCGTATACAGATTCATATTGCACTTCAAACTGATTCATTTACAACAATAAGAAAATGGTTGCAATTTACTGATGACGCGTACTGTTATCATTTGAGTTTCGTGCAGACGCCATACTGTAGGGCAGCAGTTAATGATCGGCACGGGCTAAAGAAGATTATATACACTTCCGTAAAGATAACTTGAAGTACGATTATTGATACTGGGCCCTTAGTATTCTTAACAATGTTTTGTCGATAGGCTATGTACATACGTTTCTACATATAACATGAATCTTAATTATTGGTCAAACAAGTCACGTTCAACTTACAGGGGTCGTGTCATAACCAAATAGGCGTTAAAAGCCTTTAGCGCTGTACATTCTACCACTTGATTTGATTGTATCTCTGAACAGTTGCCTATTTTATTACAATTGATTCTTTATCTGACAACCAATAAATAATTTCGATGGCTAAACATTTCTTCGTTAAGACTATAACGACATCATTGATACATCACTCCTAAATAACAGCAGAAGGACATTAATTGTCTATAAAAAAAGTTGTCTCAAACTGTCTCAGTGCTAGAATATCGTATTACATTCCCACTTCTTACATATTGCATGTAGGTGAGGTTTTTCCTTCCTCGCACATTTGAATAAATATATTACCATATTACGTTATATTTGTGCAGAGACCGCGCACTGATTTGTGACGTGTGCAATGCATTTTACAGAAATGACTTACTTCTTCAACGTACTGGCCGCACGGCGTCTCTTAACCAGGCTGCCAGATTGTGGGTTCGAACCACGGTTCTCCCCGATTATGTTTCTCTCGCTTTGTCAGCACCAGACCCATGCAGGTTCCTTTGACGTCAACCTGCTGTAGTGTAAATGAAATGCCATTTAAATCCGCGTTGAAGCAAACTCACTCACTCAAGATATAGCATAAGCTCCAGAATCAATGACTGGTCCATTGTAAATATGAGCCACAATGTTTTCGATAACATATCTTTCGCGAAACACAAGTAAACGGCTTTCAACTAGATTTAACAACATTTAATCTCTTACACACATCAGAAACCATATCTATTGCATGGTCTCTGCACACATAAAACCAACATTTTTTAGATAATCCTCATAAATTATTAATAGATGCCAAATTGCAATAATTTAGCCTTGAGAACTATCAATGACTAAACTTGCATAGGCTGAATCGGTTATATTTGTTTCATGGTTTGTATTTTAGACCAGCTATCAGCAATCAACACATTGAATTTTCGTCGTTTGTTAAATAGTATTTAACTTTACGAGACGGTCCCTAAAAATAGACCCTGCATAGCTATCCGATGAAATGAAGTGTTAAGAGAATCTGTTGGTTGTTAGAACTTTTGACGCTTTTAGCTAACCAAAACTTTAATTTGAACTAAATACAAAAATTCATGATCATTTTCGACGTCAATATATTCACTGCGGTAATGAAAAATACAAGTTGTCCAAGCAAGATGGCGACTTGTCTTCACCTATGTTATTTGTTGGGACTATTTACAACTGTGGTCGGACTACCAGAGCTTGGTGTTTGGACGGTTCAGTATGACCAGGTTAATCTGAATTTCCAACTTTCTTTAAGACTGCCAAAAAATAACTCGTTCTGCCTGGTTTGGTTGAGATGTTTATGTCAACACGACCTTACATTTCTGCATTTTCATTTTACCAATGAGTTTCATTGACCGGTAATACTTCCTCGTGTTTGTGTGTTAATGATGCATCTGCATCGTTATTATAGTCGTATCCATCACAGCTAATTCATCGTTATCAACTGGATATCAGTGTGAGACATGTTAAGATATAACTGTCTCGGATAATGATTGCAGTCATATGTTTTTCAGAATGTGTGAGTCAAGGCCTTATGATCAATGATAATCGACACACACGTGGAGTAGATCTGCAGGCTTTCACTTGTTTCTCGGGGTGTCAAAATATGCAATTTACTTGGGAGATTTGCATCTCATGAACATGATGAAACCATTCAATATGGTCATGTAAACATGAGAAAGGGGGACACAAGATCTGTTGTCTTTTACTCATTTGCAGTCGGTCTATACTGGCCATGAACACTTGAGCATATTTGTCTTTAGTGTCATTTCTCAAGTATTGGGGAAGTAAAGTTTTAACTCTGGTTTTAACTGCTAAGTTTATGGACATTTCTTGATTATGTTCTTAATGAGACATTCTTGATTGATAGGGAGTACTGTATACTACCTTGTCAAGGCATATCACTGAGTGGACCTTATCATGCCTAGTATGTGCACTAAATAACGCCTCTGTTGATAGGCTGATGTCACTGACCATAGGTGTCCAAATTACATCTTGGTATTGTGTCATGTGTAAACATTCTGGTACTCAATGGTCAACCTGTTCTAGTCTTTCTACATACATCTACTCATGTTTTTTGAGTGGAAGGGTTTTTGACCATTCCGACTGTGTCATTAACATTTAGGTAGAAAATATTCAAGACAAATCAGTCAGTATCCTTGATGTCTAAACTTCTTGAATGTGCAAGTGACTGTGATGGATAAATATTGAAATACTAGGTGCAGTCAAATTATCATTATGATTATGGTCAAACAAATTTGAACTGTCAAACTGATAACAACATAATGTATTCCTTGCACTTCTATGACTGATGCATTAGACTTGAACACAAGTCCATTGATCATGAGATAGTGTTAAGCTGTAAGTTTTCTCCCCAAACTGGTTTATGTACTTAAAATTGATTCTTAGAATAATGACGTAAGGAGTCTCGGATACAATTTATCCCCGGGTGTGCTCTCCATATGTAAGATATATGATAAACTAGTTGTGTGTCAGTGTACCCTGACTGTGTGGATTGTTGTTTACTTATCAGTGGATTGTCCTTCTCAATAGTTTAAGGCTGTACGTAGCTGGAAGAGTAAAGAAAGATTTTTTGATTGAGTAAATTCTGTTTTAATACCATTGATGTCAGACTACTGCTACTTCTTATCTATATTGACTGGTAGGTTGCATATTGCTGACTGTGGCATAAAACAATATACACTCACTCACTCACTTTATCGCAGCAAGTGCTGGTCTTTGCTTTTATTGGCCATGATTGTGATAGCCATTGATTCTGAGGTAATTTAAGTCAGGTTTTGCTGTCAAGTGAAATTGAATATATTATGATCATTTTATTAGTAGTTTAGATCAGTTAATGAGATTGTTAGTGGCTGTACCCTCAATGGGGTTTGAAGTATTGTAAAATTATTGTGCTCCTGAGAGGGTACGTAAGTCAAAGTTAAATTTAAGCTTACAAAATTTTAAAACATATATTTGTTCTTTTAATATTCGGCTAGATTTTCCTGCCAACGGCTAAGGGGATGGTGTAAATCCAACTAGGGTCCATTCAGGTAGCAAAGGCACTGTAAGTCCCACGGTCCCTGGTATGGTGATCTACCTTCAGTTGTTGGCGATCTATAGCCCGAGTTTTATATTGTATTGTCTTCTTGGATTAAAATGTTTTAGTTTTACATACTAGTTTTAAATTAAGAGCTGTGATACTCTGGTATTTTAACTGCCATTTGATGACAGGTTCTTACGTTCTAGATTTTATTGTTTTAAAATGGACATAAATGAAATTGTTCTCGTCACAATATGGCTGAATTATTGCCGATGTGACGCTTAGAGAATAACCAACAAGGTACGAGTGATTATGGGAAATATGCCCAAGTTGAAATAATGTTCTCAGTGCTGAGCCTTGGCGAGGCACTGAACATTATTTTAATGAGGGCATATTTCCAGTATTCACTCGCACCGAGTTGGTTATTCTATTTATTACCCATAATGTAATTTAAAAAGAAAAACCACGAAGTAAAAACCACCAGGAGACACGACTTGTGACCTCAAACAGCTGATTCATATTCATGCGCATATTAAACCTAACTTCTCCAGATGTAATAACATAACTATGCTATGGAAAATAGTACCTCGTAAAATCGCTTTAAACTACAACCAAAATATTTTGTCTGGAATAATTAATTAACATTTGTTAATATGATAAAAATGATCTTTTAAATATATCATTAAACTTAATAACAGCTAAACTGTTATTTGATCAAGTCAGTGCGACGGAACATCGTTCATTCACGACTGACGTGTTTCTAGTGACGGGTGACGGTGTAGTGTTGAAACACACTTTGGCAAAAACCTGCCAATTTTTGGGAAAGCCAACAGTTAAAAGTTGGGAAATCTTAAAGACAACCATCCCACGAATACATCTAGAAAGGTTTTCTGTCAAGAAACTCAATGTTTGAAGATTAAACAACATTTTGTTCTGTGGAAGGCTTGTTACAGTCACGTCATATGGTCCCAGTATAGTACAGCAGTTCCAAGAAGGATAACTCTAGTCGGAATCCGAGTCAATGGGAAGAATACGCCTCTTTGGAGCAGATGGTCGACTGACAGAGGAGTCATTCGGAGATGTTGAAGTGGAATACACCACCATAAATTGGGCCTAAGAATAGTGTATGTACAGAATGAAGAATTACGGCATGCGACAAAGACTGTGACGTCATGGTGGCAGCCTGAGGCTGAGGATGAGTGGACAGAGCGGTGGAGTTACAAGGGTTTGACAACAATTTATTAATGGGCTGATGTTGTTTCTCATTAATTGAAGAGTAATTGTTTATTAATTGAATATTTTTGTGCCCCCGGAAATTTGTATGATTTGATGTGCTGGTACAACATTGTCAGAGAGGGACTGGATGAGACGTTTTCAGGCCTTGATCGAGGCTAGCCTAATGGTGGCCATGTTTGTTGTTTGGTGGTTTTTTTTAAGGTTATTTATTTTAAAAAGACTACTATTTATAACGCAATTTTATTGCAAAATAATAATATCTAATAAAAAGAGTATTCGTATTCTTTAACCTTTATGTTTTCTTTTTTTAATCTCGGAATACAGCACATTCTTATTATCAATGAAACGGTAAAAGTTGTCAATGAACTTTGATCATGAAAAGTAGTTCTGACAACCAATCATATTTCTTCTCTGTTTAGCTGACCAATCAACGTTGAGAATCCCTGAAAAGCACATGTGAGATTATCACAAAATAAATCACCTGTATATCCTAGCCCATATGGGTAATATAAATGTTAACTCACTCACTCACTCACTCACTCATTGTTTCCATAAAGGTCTATGTTGAGATACAGTCTCAAAGGATCATTTTCAGTGTTATCACTTTAGTACATTTCATCAACTGATCTTACAACACTGTACAGATTGTTGGGTGAAGTCACAGACTGATATCATGCATTGTTGAATATTTTGTGGCAGTTATGTTGGCACATGATTCATAATGTATCGATACAGCATTACAGTATTGTATCCATATACGAGACCCACCCATCAAGTGTAAACATGAATAATAACACACATTTTTCAATTAGTTTACATAGATTCTCCAGCATTTTCCACTTGGCAGTAAATATGGTGACACAGCTCCTCTTGCCTATATGTATTGGATTGAAAGGTCTGAAATGATTCAGGCTTGTGAGTCATCAAGTATTCCAGTTTCCAAATTAGACATGGGGAATGAAATGTATATGGATGCTTGATATGCTTTCGATGACGTCATCCACTAAGATCCTCAGTATATGAAAGTTAAATGTTTATGACAGTGACAAGCATGATGGTTCATGTAGGTGGAAGAGGAGCTTGATTTTCATGCCCCTCTGGAAAAGCTTTCATTTTTACCTCCAGTTTTGAAAAGCCTTAAAAAATCACCAAAATGGTTTATAAAACCATGAAATTTGTACTCTTATAGTGGTTATTGGTGGGAACTAACATGTTTAGTTCATTACATGTAGTCCTTATGATAATACATAGCAAAAAACCTTAGAAACGGCAAGTTTCAACTTGTCTTTGTGATACCTTACTACCTGAACTATCAGGCAGTTAGCTAAGGTCTCTTCAACCTACAATCTTACTAATAGTATATTGTATGCTAAAAAGATATTCTTAAACTGTGGCTAATAAACTAACTGAAAGAGCATTGAAAATAACAGTCAAAAGGCTTGAAAAGCCCATAAATTTTGGTGTTCCATGTCTGTGTGAACCGTGAGTTACATTTATGGCAAAAGAAACAGATCTTGATATTGCCATTTACCATAGTGCTTTTCTCAAACTTTAAGCAGTGTTAAACTGAGATGCAACATAAATACTGTGGAACCTTTCAGTTGTTCAGTCATTTTGAGGTTGTTAGAAGAGAAAAATTGTCTAATTCAATTTTTGAGGCTCTTCAAGAAAGGATACCTAATCTGGCAGGAAAGCTTGATTTCTTTCTATCTAGTTATGTTTACATGAACCACTAGACTGATCTTTCTTTTGTCTCAACTTAAAGAATAGGTACAAGTCCATGATATTAGCAGGTCCTAGGGTCCTTGATCATTTTGAAGTTTGCCCCTATGTTAAATTAATGCAGGGTCCCCTTAAATCTTTTAACTGTCCATAGTAGAGTTATGCCAAGGTACTTTACTGTTTAATTTCCACCCTGCAAACATTTTATCATGGTTACTATGGTTGATATTGAACAGGAAAGTTACAGGAAAACTGTAATGTTTTAGGGGGGTCCAAGATTTCCATATGTTGGGGAAACAAACTGTGATGACCTGTGGACACTGTGTTATGCTTTCATGACCTCTGTATGTATTTATCATGTACCTAGCAATTGTTCAAGGGTAGGAACAGCCACAAGTCTGTTGTCAGAGATACCGTAACTACAAATCACGTAGACTAGTAGCTTTATCCCTATATCTGGTTACATCATGCTTATTTTGCATAAGCAGGTCGCCCAACATGAGCTGTGACAAGTGTGATGTGACCAGTGGTCTGCTACCTGGTATTCACATGTGTTCACCTTGTGTTCACCTTGTGTTGATGTGTTCACCGGGTCGGTGGGGTAGCCTTGTGGTTAAAGCGTTGGCTTGTCACGCCAAAGACCTGGGTTCGATTCCCCACATGGGTACAATGTGTAAAGCCCACTTCTGGTGTCCCCCGCCCTGATATTGCTGGAATATTGCTAAAAGCGGTGTAAAACCATACTCACTCACTCATGTGTTCACCACAATGTTATTTTAACTTCAACTTATTTAGCAGTGCTACCAACACACTGTGTTCCCACTGCCATGGTGATACTGATGATGTGGACATCAACTGCTCCAGCCAACACAGTTTCCAGTTGGCATTTCCTGCAGACACTGACACTACTGTACGTCAGTCTTGTCAATACCTGCTGACAGAAACCAGTACTATATTGATGTATGTGAGTGGTGAGCCAGCTGTTGCCTCACAGATAAAACAGGGAAATACTGATTGTCACTTGTTGAACACATGAGTGATTTCATGTTGTGAACTGGACTGAAAGTATTAATAACTATGGTAATTCATGATATATTTAAGAACCCTGGATGATCAGTTATCAATCACAGACTGTTTCCCTCAGTCATACATGATCATCTAGATTTGAGCGAGATGGTCAGATCCACAGTTTTTCTGCAGAACTGACATGCAGCACTTGTCATGTGAGGCAGACAGACCACCGTCATACAGCAGGAATATTGGGTTCACTTGCTGATCATTAGACAGACCAGTCAGCTGTGACCAGTCAGCTGTGACCAGTGTAACTGTCTGGTCTTACCTACTTATTAATGAGCTGCTCCCAACTGTGGGAGGAGTCAGCTACCCAAACTTGTTAAGTGACAGATTAACCTGATTAGTATTGTGTGTATAAGCTGCATTTGTTTGATTAGCAAAGGAAGATCCCCATAGCTGGTTATGAAGAGCATCTGGGACTTTCCGCTCTTCCTGTTCTTTAGGTGCAAGAAGCCTGACTTGAGATGATGGATGTGACACCAGTAGTATTTGGAATCGGAAACCAAATCCACTATCGATTATCAGATAACTTTTGGTGAACGATTATTGATTATAATAAAAATATATACATTTTTAATGTAATCACCAATATTAAGGGTTTTTCCCCAGGTTTTTGGTAATTAGCAAGATATTTTCATGTCTAACTTTTAAAGTGCAGTAATATTACTTTCTACATACAAATTATTCTGTTTATTTATACAACAAATATTTATCAGTATATCTCATTACGTTCACGATAGATGTAAATGTATTCATAGACAGGCTACAGTACTATTACCGCAGTGATGAATACTAAATTATGAATACAATGCACATAGCTTTACGTTGTTGAGTGCATGTTTCTTCGTGAATATTCATCAATTCTATTGGTTAATTTATCTTATTCAAGTGTGTTGCACTAACTAAAACAACAAAATTGTGTTTAATCGAAAATATGTTTTTACAATCGATTATTTTCGATCATCGGAACACCATTAGACACCGGAAGTGGCAAAGTCCAAAGATATCAAAGATTACATGGTGATGACATCGGAACATGATGGGGACATTTCTGATTCCCTTTTGGAATCATTACCATACAGTGGGCCTGGGACTATCAACAACCTGGAAGGTTTTCATGTCGCATCAACTGCTGTCTTCCACATCAGCAACCCATCCTGCAGGGATGCGTTAAGGCCACAGGATTGCAGGATGTCCCCAAACTGAAAAGTCAGTGTGGCAAATTTCACACAAATAAAGCAGAGTTGGCTCACTTTGTTGACCTAGTGTAAGATATGATTCAAACAAAACTAATAATATGAACATCACTTCAGTAATATATCATGCCAATCATTTTCTGTGACTTGTATCTTGAGCAAAAACAATAAACAGCACTAATCATTTTAATTATGTCAAAGGTTGGGCTTGCTTTCTTGGAATTCGTAAGTGTGATCATGATGACTGCCTTCTGCAGATAGTGAGGTCATAAACTTGTTAAAAATCATAAAACATGTTGGCCCATGTTCAGTTTTGTGACAAGCTTAATGCATTCCTGAACCTGGTTTGTACACATGCTTCAAGGATTTGAGAAGTCTGACAGTACCAAGCTGACACAGCTAGACTGGTGCTGCTTCCCCACCCAGGAAGAAGGCCTACAGAGAGCCGCATGGAAGGGTGGTATGTCTGAGAGGGAGGACAGAAGACACCTGTTGAATTCTTGGATGCTGTTGGTCATTTGATAAAGCTTGACTGACAACTGACATTGTATTGTGTGATCAGTGTATTTAGCATCTTTTGCCCTGATGTAAAGAACAATTTCCTGTAAATAATTCAATATATGGCATATTCTGGTGATTTGATGATTAAATTAGCGTAATAAACCTCTCCTGTAAATGCCTTGCAACATGTGTTTTCTGGTCTGTTCCACTTCAGTGAAAGGTCAACAGGTAACTTTTGCTTGACCACCGAACCTTGACTACCCCTTGCTTGAACTGTCTGACAACTGGGTGTCTGACAATTTGTATATTTATCGAAAATTGTTCTGTGTGTGTTAAACAACAAACTGACCTTTAAATATGCTAATAGATTATAGAACTTGTAAAACATTTGGTTTACTTGTTAGTTTTTAAGTAATGTTTTTCTTTCTTTTTTTCAGGATAACATCATTCATGGATTTACCAAGAGTGCCTTTACGAAAACAAAGATATCACTTTCAAGTAAGTGCGGATGTGTTTTTAGCCTGACAGTGTTTTCTTCAGCCCATCATCAGCCCGTATGGCCATACAACATTGGCCATCTAATTGACATTCCATGTTCCTAATCAGACCAGTTTTACATTTCAGTGTTATGTTATTGATGTATTTACTTTCAGGACGTCAGGAAGATTTAATGTTAAGGTTAAAGTTGAAGATCATTAGCTTTGGAAGGCCAATTTTAAAAAAACGTCGAATGCATGGACAGTGATGAATCATTCATGGATTGTGTCATCTGTTAATGTTGACTTTGATCATTTTCTTCTCAACATGCTGAATGATTGCTTCTGTTTTTATGTTTCCAGTATCTTGCAGTAATGCCGAAGATGTTGAAGTAAGATGGCTGATACGATACTCTCCATGTGCCCAAGAGTATGATGGGGTTGAAGCTGATAAGGTCTGTCTTTGTGTAGTCTATTACTTATTGTGAAATTTGTAATATCAGTGTCTTCAGAGAAAGTTTTATGACTATGGAGTTCTTTTATCTTCCATGCTTTCATACAATATAAATTCCATTGTTTTATTGTACATGATATTACTTCTCAAGATGTAGAATCCTGATGGAGTCTGATGATGATTAGCTGCTATAGTATGACCAGAAATTATTGAGAATTTCAGGAATATGTTTAATTGGATTTCTAGTATAACAAACCTTGACCAGCTATCAAGTGCTTGGTTTCATTCAAGAGAGACAACTCCATTAATCCTTTTTCATTAGTTTTCGAAGAGTTATCCCCCTTTGTTTACTTGCTAGCACACAACATTTTCAGTGATCCTCAGTATGGATGATTAGAGAAGAGGAAGTTCATTGTATTATAGCAAGGACATCAGATCAGCTAAAGTGATTTCAAGTAGAACAGGCATCCCTTTGTCCACTGTTTATTGTGTTTTGAAAAATATTGCAAATGGATATGGCATTGAGCACCAGGGAGGCGCAGGTAGGTCCAGAAAATTGACTGTTGGTGACAGGAGGCGGCTTGGTATTCTTGTTTCTAAAAACAAACGAAAGAGTTTAGAAAAATTAAGGCTGGATATGATTGATAGAGGAACTCTGGCTGTCTGTAAGGAGACAATTAGAAGTGAGCTGCATGCAATGGGTTGGCAGAAAAGTCGAGGAATTCCATCACCGATCATGAAACCTGAACAAAAGGAGCTAAAGTTGAACTGGTGCTTACAGCATAGAAATTTTAACTGGTACAATGTGATTTTCTCAGATGAAAGTTTTGTGTGGCTGTTTCCTAATACACTGAAATTCTGGACCAAACAAACTGAAAAACCGTTGTATCAGCGCCCAAAGTTTACAATTTAACGTGTAGGGTGGCATATCTGTGTTGGGGGCAACGCCCCTCTGTCTATTTGAAGGGAATATGAACAGTGAGCGGTACACAGATATTCTCGAGGGACATTAACTTCCATCTGCTCACGTGTTCTATGGAAATTATTTGATTTTCCCGGAGGACAACGACCCAAAACATTGTTCAAAGCATTCACAGGCCTGGTTTGCGGACCCAAAATATGACATTATTAGATTGGCCAAGATATAGCCCTGACCTAAATCCAATAGAAAATATTTGGGGACTTATGATGGAAAGTGTCAATAAGAAAAATCTGACAAATATTGCTGAAATGAAAGAAGAGGTGGTCCGATATTGGGACAGCTTGGACTACGACTTTCTAACTTCTTTGATCAGTAGTATGCCCTGCCGCATTGAAGCCTGCATTGCTGCCCATGGTGACTTGACAAAATACTAACTGTTCACCTGTCTTTGAAACTGGAGTTTTGTTCTGCTAATATTCACATTTAATATGTGAGTAATGAGGGGAAAAAATAAAACTTACAATCTTTAAAATCTCAATAATTTCTGGTTGCACTGTATAAAGTTGATAACATGTCACCACACAAGGTTTAGGCTGGAGAAATTGTACTTCACTGTAATGAGTGCCCTAGGTGCTTTGAAATTTGAAAGGGGGGGACTTGTTGAGACCATTCACCATGAGTTAAGTTTGTTGTCAATGATTAAAGGATAGTGAACATAGTTTACTCAAATATAGGTGACACTGAACATTTTTGATAATACTTACCATGCACTTATATCCTGTTCTCTGAATAATCTGTGATACATGCCAACTATCATGTACCGGTACATTTCAGTATTAGTAGGTTCGTTGATAGAGGTGACTTACAGATTGGTTAGATGTTGGTCAGAGAGGTCTTGTATAACGAATACACTATTTGTTGAATAGGATATATATGTGATTATTTCGTAGTGAATGTGAATATTGGGTAATGAATACAATACCAACTCACCTGTTGATGTATTCATCTTCTTATTCAGTAAAACAATACCAACTCACCAGTTGATGTATTAATCTTCATATTCAGTAAAACAATACCAACTCACCTGTTGATGTATTCATCTTCTTATTCAGTAAAACAATACCAACTCACCAGTTGATGTATTCATCTTCATATTCAGTAAACAATACCAACTCACCTGTTGATGTATTCATCTTCATATTCAGTAAAACAATACCAACTCACCTGTTGATGTATTCATCTTCATATTCAGTAAAACAATACCAACTCACCAGTTGATGTATTAATCTTCATATTCAGTAAAACAATACCAACTCACCTGTTGATGTATTAATCTTCATATTCAGTAAAACAATACCAACTCACCTGTTGATGTATTAATCTTCATATTCAGTAAAACAATACCAACTCACCAGTTGATGTATTAATTTTAATATTTAGTGAAACCATAACAAAATAAATTCTTTGACATGTTTTAACCATGTTGACACAAATTTATTACCACAATGACCTGTGACCACAAAGTAAATATATATGAGTGTTAACTATTATCTAGCCAGGCTTACTTTTGTTTCATTTTGCATGTCTCTCTTTGATGAATATTACCCAAATTCAAGTAAAAGTACTCCTTTCTGAAAACTTGAAGGTCACATGCAACCAAAAAATCAAACATAATTAAAACACAATTATCACTTATTCATGACATATAATATACATTGCTCGTAATGAAAAAACATGAAAACAAAATTATAAGCGTACAATCGCAAATCAAAAGTGCAATATTTCGTACTTGGGTTTACTTCCCAAGAAACGAAGCAGCCGGGATACCGAACCCAGTCAGAGCGGGTGGGTGTGCACTCAAGTGTAACGGCAGGTTCGTTTTGCAGATGCCCTCACGGCTCATTGTGTGTGTATATATAGAGATGTTGGGTTTTGTAAATACATGCTCATTATTTGTGTATAAAATTTGCAATCAACAGACACCATAACATGTCATGTGTACAAGTATCACACCTGCCTGTCTGTGTAATTACATAATGTGACTGAGACCGAGCTCGGGCCATAAATCAATGCGTTTTGTTTATGGTGTATAGCCTGATAGGTGTTACATTGAAATTGCATGTGGTCAGTGATCGAAATTGTGTATTGAATATTGTCATTAGCAGACGGGCAGGCAGACACATACCGTAGGTGTCAATAAAACAGACATTGAGTTTTGTCTGTGAAAACAACATATCTATATCACAGTTAGAAATTCTGTCGACGCTAAATAGTGACATTGCTTTTAAGTATCGAACTGAGCAAGTGACTCGGTAAAAAGAACGTGTGGTGAAATAGACAAATGAAATTATATAAACAGTTAAATCGGTAATCTACTGTAATAACATATAAAAAGCTCGCGCCTGTGAAATATCAACAAAATATTAGAAAAATAGCTCACACCAAAGCCTTCACCGAATATTTACCGGACACCCCGCTTTCAAGCTCCGCAAACCTGTTTCACTGCGCATGTGCTATGAGCGCAGCCCAGCCGTTGAAACCACTTCAATTCTCCCAAGCTCTGGGGGAAAGTTGGTGAATCGTTTGAACTACGATTTCGCATGGGTTTTTTTCATCGCTTTATTTTTCAACTTTATAAGATGAATTTGCATTTTTGATGATTTGTTTCGGAAAGTCCATACCGAAAGGTATCAGAATCTGCAAAGTTGTGTTTTTCGTTGCATGTGACTTTTAATGAATATTTGATTCCAGTGAACGTGAATTGTGCTTGTTTTCATCAAGGGGTACAGTTTGATTCACCGTATATGAGAGTGAATCGTAACAACCTTAGTGTTTGGATGTTTGATGGGCATTTAGAAGTTGGGAGGTAACACAACAACGTATTGTATGGATTTACAACTTCTTTAATATTTACAACACGACATTTAGTGTTGTTAGAGGAGGGAGCTGAATGCCCTAAAAATGGCACTTTGTATTGCTAGATGTGTTGAGTAAACGTTGAATGAAGTAACCTATGCTTCCTTTCAGGATCGCCTATCGAGCTACTTGTTTGCCCCGTATATCCAGTATGTCGTGGAATTTGACTATGCTTCCATTGAAATGTTGGCCAACAGCACCCGGATCGACTGTAGCGACGGTCAAGTCAATCTACCGGTTTGTATCCTCCCTTTGCTTAATTGTTTCACCTTTTTGCAGATATAATGAAAAGACGTAGCGTCAGTTTTCTGTTGGTGGTCCAACATTGCTCCTGTAATTTGAAAGTTATCACCCCTTATGTATAACAGTGTGCAACTTTAGCCAAAAGTTGAAACTCTGTGTCTAATAATATTCTGTGTATTCTGTAGTCTGTAGGCTTGAGATGTGTACTGTGGGATCAACATTCGTGCGGGAGGGTTCAGTGGTCTGTAGGCTTGAGATGTGTACTGTGGGATCAACATTCGTGCGGGAGGGTACCGTGGTCTGTAGGCTTTAGATGTGTACTGTGGGATCAACATTCGTGCAGGAGGGTACCGTGGTCTGTAGGCCTGAGATGTGTACTGTGGGATTAACCATCATGCGGGAGGGTACCGTGGTCTGTAGGCTTGAGATGTGTACTGTGGGATCAACATTCATGCGGGAGGGTACGGTGGTCTGTAGGCTTGAGATGTGTACTGAGGGATCAACGATCATGCAGGAGGGTACCGTGGTCTGTAGGCTTGAGATGTGTACTGTGGGATTAACGATCATGCAGGAGGGTACCATGGTCTGTAGGCTTGAGATGTGTACTGTGGGATCAACATTCATGCAGGAGGGTACGGTGGTCTGTAGGCTTGAGATGTGTACTGTGGGATTAACGATCATGCAGGAGGGTACCATGGTCTGTAGGCTTGAGATGTGTACTGTTGGATCAACATTCATGCCGGAGGAGAATAATGGTGGTCTGTGGTCTGTGGAGGCTTGAGATGTGTACTGTGGGATTAACCATCATGCAGGAGGGTACCGTGGTCTGTAGGCTTGAGATGTGTACTGTGGGATTAACGATCATGCAGGAGGGTACCATGGTCTGTAGGCTGGAGATGTGTACTGTGGGATTAACGATCATGCAGGAGGGTACCATGGTCTGTAGGCTTGAGATATGTACAGTGGGATTAACATTCATGCAGGAGGGTACGGTGGTCTGTAGGCTTGAGATGTGTACTATGGGATCAACATTCATGCGGGAGGGTACGGTGGTCTGTAGGCTTGAGATGTGTACTGTGGGATTAACCATCATGCAGGAGGGTACGGTGGTCTGTAGGCTTGAGATATGTACAGTGGGATTAACCATCATGCAGGAGGGTACCGTGGTCTGTAGGCTTGAGATGTGTACTGTTGGATCAACATTCATGCCGGAGGGTACGGTGGTCTGTAGGCTTGAGATGTGTACTGTGGGATTAACCATCATGCAGGAGGGTACGGTGGTCTGTAGGCTTGAGATATGTACAGTGGGATTAACCATCATGCAGGAGGGTACGGTGGTCTGTAGGCTTGAGATGTGTACTGTGGGATTAACCATCATGCAGGAGGGTACGGTGGTCTGTAGGCTTGAGATGTGTACTATGGGATTAACGATCATGCAGGAGGGTACCATGGTCTGTAGGCTTGAGATATGTACAGTGGGATTAACCATCATGCAGGAGGGTACGGTGGTCTGTAGGCTTGAGATGTGTACTGTGGGATTAACCATCATGCAGGAGGGTACGGTGGTCTGTAGGCTTGAGATGTGTACTGAGGGATCAACGATCATGCCGGAGGGTACGGTGGTCTGTAGGTTTGAGATGTGTACTGTTGGATCAATAATCATGCAGTGATGTGAAATACACGGTTATAGTTTTGAGTGTTTGGCGTTGCTGCAAAGAGCAACTGTTCTGATATTTATATATATTTGATCAATGTTTTCTTACCAATTGTCAATCTTTATGGTCTTTATAGATAGCCAGCCCTGTAACGGGAAATACAGATATCATGCTAACTGCTACAGCCTTGTAAAATCCATGATTTTGTCAAAGGAAATGTGTTTATTTTGCAGGATTACTCTCATCTCGAGCCAAAGATAGTCCCAACTATTAAAGTGGTAAGTGTTGTGATATGTCATTGTACGAGTGTTTCAATCAGTTGCTGCCACTACTACCAGGGATAAACTCACAACTCAGTAATCATAGCTAATGGAGGAATAGTGTTTAATACCCATGTGGAATTGATGGGAAAACATTTTCTCTCTGTTCAAACGTTGGCTGCTTGCAGTCAAAGTGTCTGCACACAGTGGAAGGGGGAACAATCTGTTGTTGGTCTTCATGTGCTTACTACTCACTCTGACACGGCAACACTGACACGGCAACACTGACACAGTGTTGGCCCAGAATGGGGTTGAATGGTACTTTAGTAATATTGGTCTATAGTTTATTTAGTATTTTGCCATAGCAAAAGCACTGCATACTATATGATTTTATTGTAGATAAGAAAACGCTCTCTGATTTATGGGGGTGGTGGGGTAGCCTAGTGGTTAAGGCATTTGCTCATCACACCAAAGACCCGGGTTCAATTCCTTACATGGGTACAATGTGTGAAGCCCAATTCTGGAGTCCCCCCACCGTGATATTGCTGGAATATTGCTAAAAGAGGCGTAAAACCATATTCATTCACTCACTCACTCTGATTTATGTGTGTGTCTGTACAGATGTTAAACCTTAGTTCCCCAATCACTGACTAATGAATTAACTGTTGCAACCCTTATTTGTAACATTGCAGTCACAGCCTGGGTCGACCAAAGAAGCAACTACAGCAGCATCAGCAACGGCAGCACCTGCAGCAACAGCAGCACCAACAGCAGCACCACCAAACCCAGCAACAAGACGGCGTCGAGCTGCTGTCACAGACACGGTAAACTCTTGAATGTGCTGTACTTTTCTACTCAAACATCCAAAACTGGTTCAGTTTGCCTGATTTGGCCCTCCTACTACATACATTGTACACTGTAAGCAATCCAAATATAACTCGTACATTACCTTGATGGCCATTCTGATATTACTCTGACATTACACTGTTGGCCATTCAGATATAACTGTCATATTGCACTGTTGGCTGCTCTGACATTACTGTCATATTACGCTGTTGGCCAATATGATATAACTGTCACATTGCACTGTTTACCATTCTGATATAACTGTCATATTTCCTTGTTGGCCACCCTGATATAACTGTCATATTGCACTGTTGGCCATTCAGATATAACTGTCATATTGCACTGTTGGCTGCTCTGACATTACTGTCATATTTCACTGTTGGCGAATCTGATATAACTGTCACATTGCACTGTTTACCATTCTGATATAACTGTCATGTTACACTGTTGTCCAATCTGATATAACTCATATTTGCACTGTTGGCCAATCTGATATAACAGTCACATTGCACTGTTTACCATTCTGATATAACTGTCATATTACATTGTTGGCGAATCTGATATAACTGTCATATTACACTGTTGGCGAATCTGATATAACTGTCATATTACACTGTTGGCGAATCTGATATAACTGTCATATTGCACTGTTGGCCAATCTGATATAACTGTCATATTGCACTGTTGGCCAATCTGATATAACTGTCACATTGCACTGTTTACCATTCTGATATAACTGTCATATTTCACTGTTGGCCATTCTGATACAACTGTCATATTGCACTGTTGGCCATTCTCATATAACTGTCATATTACACTGTTGGCCATTCTGATATAACTGTCATGTTGCACTGTTGGCCATTCTGATGTAACCGTCATATTGCACTGTTGGCCATTCTGATATAACTGTCATATTGCACTGTTGGCCATTCTGATATAACTGTCATATTGCACTGTTGGCCATTCTCATATAACTGTCATATTACACTGTTTACCATTCTCATATAACTGTCATATTTCACTGTTGACCACCCTGTTGTAACTGTCATACTGCACTGTTGGCCATACTCATATAACTGTCATATTACACTGTTTACCATTCTGATATAACTGTCATATTTCACTGTTGGCCACCCTGTTGTAACTGTCGTATTGCACTGTTGGCCATTCTCATATAACTGTCATATTACACTGTTTACCATTCTGATATAACTGTCATATTACACTGTTTACCATTCTGATATAACTGTCATATTACACTGTTTACCATTCTGATATAACTGTCATATTGCACTGTTGGCCATTCTGTTGTAACTGTCATATTTCACTGTTGACCACCCTGTTGTAACTGTCATATTGCACTGTTGGCCATTCTCATATAACTGTCATATTACACTGTTTACCATTCTGATATAACTTTCATATTGCACTGTTTACCATTCTGATATAACTGTCATATTGCACTGTTTACCATTCTGATATAACTGTCATATTACACTGTTTACCATTCTGATATAACTGTCATATTGCACTGTTGGCCATTCTCATATAACTGTCATATTGCACTGTTGGCCATTCTCATATAACTGTCATATTGCACTGTTGGCCATTCTGTTGTAACTGTCATATTGCACTGTTGGCCATTCCGATATAACTGTCATATTACACTGTTGGCCATTCACATATAACTGTCATATTGTACTGTTGGCCATTCTCATATAACTGTCATATTGCACTGTTGGCCATTCTGATATAACTGTCATATTGCACTGTTGGCCATTCTCTTGTAACTGTCATATACTCAAAGCCATTAGAAACACATCACCCATTCTAATGATATAAGTTTTTCTGACGTGAAGTGTTCGAACCCAAACTGTTGTGTGAATCAACTAACCATGTCACCTGAAAAGCATGCAAAGTGAGAGCAGCACGCATGCAGGTGCAGTCACGTGACACATGATGATCACATAACCTTGATTATTGGCTGTTGATAGAGAGCGAGCAGTGGGTTTCCTTAATGCTTGATTATCCACAGTGGCAGTGGCCGGACAGTTCAACTGTCACGTCGACAATTGTTAAGACTCTTCCAGCGTCTTCAACAAATAGGCAGCACACGTGACCATCAATGTCCAGGACAACCACGCGTCACAACCCTATATCAAGACCACTACATTCAGGTCACCCATTTGAGGAACCGGTTCCAGCCAGCATCAAGGACAGCTTCAGCAATCCGTGGGAGAAGGGGGCGAATCAGTCCTCAAACTGTGAGATGTTGTTTACGTGAGAGAGGGCTTTGTGCACGTCGACCTCATGTTGGTCTAATTCTGACATGTAGACATCGTCAGGCACGTCTCACTAGGTGTAGACATCATCGCAGTTGGACACACAGAGAGTGGGCATGAGTCCTGTTTACCGACGAATCCAGATTCCACCTCAGTCACGCTGTTGGACGTTTGCGTGTGTGGCATAGACGCGGTGAGCATTACGTCAATTGCTGTGTTTTGGAGGCTAATCGTTGAGGTGGAGGAAGTTTGATGATTTGGGGCGGGATCAGTGTGTTTGACAGGACCCCCTTGCATGTCTTTCGAGGCCGTGTTACCGCTCTAACGTACACACAGGACGTTTTAAGGCCTATCGTTGTCCCTCACATGATGACCCATCAATGTCTGCACACTCTGCAACAAGATAACGCCAGACCCCATAGCGCAAGGCATACCATGGACTTCCTGCGACAGAACAACATCAATGTCTGCACACTCTGCAACAAGATAACGTCAGACCCCATATCGCAAGGCATACCATGGACTTCCTGCGACAGAACAACATCAATGTCTGCACACTCTGCAACAAGATAACGTCAGACCCCATAGCGCAAGGCACACCATGGACTTCCTTCGACAGAACAACGTCAATGTCTGCACACTCTGCAACAAGATAACGCCAGACCCCATATCGCAAGGCATACCATGGACTTCCTGCGACAGAACAACATCAATGTCTGCACACTCTGCAACAAGATAACGCCAGACCCCATATCGCAAGGCATACCATGGACTTCCTGCGACAGGACAACATCAATGTCTGCACACTCTGCAACAAGATAACGTCAGACCCCATATCGCAAGGCATATCATGGACTTCCTGCGACAGAACAACATCAATGTCTGCACACTCTGCAACAAGATAACGCCAGACCCCATATCGCAAGGCATACCATGGACTTCCTGCGACAGAACAACATCAATGTCATGCAATGGCCATCGCTGTCCCCTGATCATGTCTGGGATGAGATGGGGAGGAGAATTGCCAATATGGCGCTGCCTCTCAACTTGCAGCAGCTGGAAGCGTCTCTCTGCAGGATAAAGCAACAGATCCCTCAGGATTTCTTCAGGAGGGTCATCTTTTCTCTCAGGAGGAGTTTTGTGGCTGTTATTGATGCTGATGGTAGACACACGTGATACTGACGTTGTCTTCTTTCTTGTTTACCAGTGTGAACTTCAACCCCGTCTCTGTTTAACCCACGTTGCCTTGGTCAATAAATGCAGTGCAACTGCATAACACATTTCATTCTCTTCTTAAATGGTTACTTATCACATCGTTCTCTAAAAAATTATTGGATGCCAAAACGCACCTAAGAAATATGCTAATCTATCAGCGATGTGTTTCTAGTGGCTTTCAGTTCACTGTTGGCCATTCTTCTATATCTTTCACTTTACACTGTTGGCCATTCTTCTATATCTTTCACTTTACACTGTTGGCCATTTTTCTATATCTTAAACTTTACACTGTTGGCCATCCTGTTTTAATGGTCATATTTCATTGTTGACCATACTGATTTGTATTGTCTACCGGAGTAGCTTGGCCTACACTCTGTGTGAGTTCTGGACACCAACAGTTATAGCTGCTATTGCAAGAAATAACATTTGCTCTTTATATTTCTTGCTAATAGTAAGCAAAACATAAGAAAACTTTCGATACTTTTTTTGCCTTGAGTAATGTAGAATTTGTGTTCCTTTGATTTTCTCAAGTTTGTTGTTTCAGAATACAACAGCCCCTGTCGCCCCAGTAACTCAACACCCATCGGATGAGGTAAGTAGCCTGTCCTCTGTGTTGTTAAGCCTGTTATGTTTGTTCTTACAAAAATATGTTTTGCTGTGGAAAAGATAGTGGCTTGTTTCTTAAGGTCTTCTGATGAAAAGTAATATCTTGTGGTAATACAAGTTATATAATAGTTAATTTTTCCTTATCCTGACTCATGCTAAATGCTGGCTAAATGCTTGTCTCCTTCTTCTTGTGAATGATAGTGGAACACTTGAAATCCCTTGAAGTACCCTTCTAAAAAGCAGATGTAAAATCATCACTCACTCACGAGTAGTCTCCCTTGCCTCCTTTGGGGCCCTTATTGGTCACATGACCAGCTATGTTTGTCACTCTCTCCTTCTTCGCCCTTGAGGACGGTTGTGAGAGCACCTGGGTCTCTATACGGCACATATCCTTTTCTATTTTGGACCTTTTACATCTAAATGGCAGCTGTATACGTTTTTTGGATTGTATATTATCATATGTTTTGATATTATGTCTAAATTATACGTTGTTTGCCATCTTTTTCATCTGGTTTACAATTGATGAAAACTTGTATTCGTTGTAGGTACAGGCTGACCCGCATATAATATGTCCTGATTGCACCACTGCATGTTCTTCCAGCTCTCGCTGTAAACATTGTCAGAAACTAACTACTTTTCAATTTAATAGCTACCATTTTTCCTTATCCTGACTCATGTTCTCTCCTGCTTATCTCCCTTTCCTATTTGAATGGTAGTTAAACACTTGAATCCCTTGAAGTTCCCGAAGCGGACTTATAAATACACTCACCCATGAGTTACCTCCCTTTGCCCTTTCCCCTTTCCCCGCGCAAACCAGTCATGTGACGTGCCTAACTGGTCACTGTCTCCCTTTTTGCCCAAGCGGATGGTTGGGCGAGCACTGGAGTCCCGTATACGGCATCACATACTTTTTATTTAGACCTATTCTTCAAAATTACGCTGTATATGGATTTGGCTATAACTACTATGTAGTATTTGTAAAAGTTTGTAAAATATTTATTGACTTTGAGTCGTAAATTCATCGTCATGTAACGTTGTTTACATTTCATGAAATCCTGCATTGCTTGCAGGCACAGGTTATCCGTGGCGGATCCTCACCCCCAATGTCCTTCATGAAAAAATCCATGTTCCTCCAGCTTGCGCTGTAGTTATTGTATTGATTTTTCAAATCTTCAATTAATCAATATTTGTCTTATATATATAGACGTGCATGGATCGGGTGAGAAAGTCCCGATTGATAAAATCTGCAGATCAGCCTTCAAACTGTATATTGCATACAGGGGCAGTCTGCTGGTAAGGGGGTCAGGAAGAGATCGTCTACATCTCAGTCGACTCCGTCTGAGACTAAGAAAAAGACGTCATCCTCTTCTACAACGCAGAAGAAGTCAGCTGTTACCAGACGGAGGGCAAATCTACGTGTGCTAGTTCATCTACGCACCAGGAATCCTTCAATGAAGAGATTGTACCTCCTCACGTACTAGACGTTTTTGACGGACCCCCTTTACTTCTACCTGAAGTATCTATGAGATCAGCGACTCAGTCGACCTCTACTACTACGAGATCGTCCCCTACTACAGTCACAGCAGGAAGCTGTTGACGTACTACCTCTTACTTCTCGGAGTGAAGTTGAGGCACATAACTTATCAGCGTTCGCGAACACTTCATCTACACCATAGCAGCGTCAACCTATGCAGAACTTCGATGATGTCCATGATGGAACGTAGATTCCAGAAGGAATCGAAGGCTAAGAAAAACCTCATCTACTGAATCCGTGCGCAAACCTAAGGATAGGTGCGAACCCACGGGTCTGCGCGAATCTACTCTTGGATCTACACCTCAAGGCTGCGTTGGAAAACGTACACCTTTACGAAGGTCTCCACAGTGGGACGACTCTGTCATCTTGGAGGATGATAGAGATGACTTACCTACTCTATCTACATCTGCAAACCCTCAATGTTCGAGAACATTGAAGGATCCCGCTCCTACACCTAGCCTCTCTAGATCGCGGAGCTACTCACCTCAAGCCAGAGGTTCGCAAAACGTTTGCGAAGAGATAGCTCACCTCACAAGCTTCGCGAAGCGATGTATCCACAGATAGAGGTTCGCGGACGGAACACTCTCAAGACAGACGTTCGCATAGGGAGGAATCTTCAGATAGAGGTTCGCGAATCGAGGATGAAGGTTCGAGAAGGGAAACAGGTTCGCAGATGGATGAACTGTGAGACCTAGCTCTAATAATCAGGAGACTTCGGTCTTGCAAACGGACCTCGTCTTCCCAGACTCATAAGTTACAGCATGGATTGCTAACGCACAGCTTTGAGAAAGCTACAGGCATCTACAAGGTTCGAGAACTCTCAGATCTACAGGCAGATAACAGCAACGTAGACATCTACAAGTATACTTGAATGGACGTACATATGATCATATTAACACTCGTCACTCAGTGTGGGGATTAGGAATTATATCCTATCAACTAGATCCATACAGACATACGTCTCGACAGCCTCCTTCGTCATGCTCGGAATAAGTGATTCATATCACCAAAGATTTACACTTGGAGCAACCCTTAGTCAGGAGGCTTATATGAGCGGCGTAGGATTACTTGCGCTTTTACTCACAGATTTTATGGAGGCCAACTGGCTACAACACTGGTGACATCATGCTTGAAGCTGATTGGTCCACGTCAGACAATGCCTCCCACTGACAGAGCAGGCTCCAGCATGTTTTCTCATTGTAAACAAACCCGTGGTACGGGGAAATACTTCATCGGCAGCCTTGGAAACAGTATACAACTATGGCCTGTTATCATCATGGAAGTCTGATAGATGTCTAGCCTTGACAGCAGGATAAACGATGTTTATTTTGGAAGTTGTCACTGATAGAAGTCGGTATGAGTACCTGTCCCCTGCGATGCTACATGGGAGCCAGCCTTGCTATAAACAGACAATGCTTCGATGTCAACACAGATCGCCTGCTTATATAAGGGGAAGAATGATGTATCATCACTGCAATCAGAGGTTAGCACTTCCAATGGAACGTCCTATTGTTTGGAATATCGTAGGCTCTATGATTATTCATACGAATAACCAAGCCTATCGGCACCTATTTACAACATCGAAATGTACGCAGTGCCGGTTAACCGGAGGATGGCATACAGGTTCTTCAAAGTGCCAATCAACTCAGAGAGCAGATGAACTTCTCAATTAAGTTGCTCACGTAACTAGGATGGATAGTGAACCTGATGGAAATTGGATCTTCAATTGCTGTGAATAAGAATTATCACAATACAGGATTGAATTGTGATCCCAGAAGATCATTGGGTCAAGATATAAGCCATGATTCAACAAGCAGTCATCTCTCCGTTAACACTACGAACATGGCAAGTGCTACTCTGTCTGCTAACCTCGGCGCAGGACTTGACACGCACAGGAAGGTTACAACTAAGACTGCTGCAATGGTTCCTGATAAAACATTTAGACAGCGTCGACCCTATCTTGCTGCCGGAGAACCTCAGGAGATATGTACTGTGGTGGACACACAGGTCGTACGTTTGCGAAGGGACCTATTTACAAGAGCCGGCCTTCGACACGCATCTCTACGCAGATGCCTCGAAGTGGCCTAGGGGAAGTGGTCCAAAATAGAACAGAAACTGCACATCAATCTGCTAGAGCTGAAAGCAGTGATCAACGCCTTACAACTATGGTCGAGCTTGCTGAACAACAAAATGTTGATGATACAAACGGACAACTCTACAGTAGCGTTCTCCATAAACCGACAAGGAACCACAAGGTCTCCAAGCCTATTGCAGCTCACATTCCAGTTGTTCCAGATAACACAGGAAGCAAACGTCTGGATAAAGGCGTGTCACATACCTGGAGCCAAGAACGTACTGGCAGACGTTCTCTCAAGACCACTACACCTGTCACCTACGGAATGGATCCAGAAGCATTTCGGAACGTAAGGGAGATAGCATCCTCTTGCATAGACCTGTTTGCCACGAGGTTCAACAAACAACTAGAGACGTTTGTCTCGCCAGTTCCAGATCCTCAAGCTTGGGCAACAGATGCACTGAGCATGTCGTGGGAAGGAGTAAATCGCTTTTCCATCCCCGATACTACTGCCAAAAGTACTGTTCAAGACTCAGACGCTACAACTGACTTTGGTCACGCCCTATTGGCCAGTGAGAGCATGGTTCCCAGACCTAATAGAAGATCTCGGAAACCCAGTAATAGAATTACCAGATTGGCCGAACCTACTAATACTTCCGCACACCAAGCAAGTCCACGGAAACCCAACAGTGTTCCAGTTACACGAGTGGACCGTATCTAAACATGCTTGAAGAAAAGAGGATACTCCGCTAGTGCAGCCAAAGCAGTAACACTAGCGTTACGCAGATTGACTCGTAACCTATATGACGACAAATGGCTGAAGTTTGAGACTTATGCAAGGCGGAAAGGCTTCACAGCGATGATAGCCACTCATCCTCAAGTGGCGGAATATCTGTGTTATCTTAGACAGACCAGACATCTGAAGGGTTCGACACTATGTACATACCTCTCTGCAATCAGTACAGTGATTACTATGTAAATAGGCATCAAGTTGACGAAAGTACCAGAATTACTTGCTCTGCTGAGATCTTTTAAGCTGGAGGACCAGCAAAAGAAATTCAGAGCTTCAGCCTGGGATCTGAATGTAATTCTTGCGTCATCTTACCAGTGATGTCTACGAACCACTAGATCAGATTACACGCGAGCTGCTAACACAGAAGACGCTGTTCCTGCTTGCGTTAGCCACAGCAGCTCGCATATAGGAGATACATGCGCTGGACGTTGGTCGAACCACATTCGATAGAGGGCAACATAATGCAGTTCATCTAGGACTTAGACGGAACTTTATTGCCAAGAACCAGCTACCTGGTCAACCAGATAGCAGTTCCACGTACCAGCGCTGTCTACAGTCCTTGGTCCACAGGCTATAGAGGACTTA